TGCTGTGTAAGTGGACATTGGTGTTCACTTCTCAAAGGAGAAGAATAGATGTATGCGCCCTTCAGAAGAGGGAGGGGCAGGCAGGCTACCAAAGCAGAAGTCAGCAACTCACTTTACTCTGTTGGCTCAGATCCGAGACAGTTTCTTATTCTGTTTTCTTACTTTCACCTAAGGCAATGTATCGTTGAGTAAGGTTGTTAACCATATTTAATCAATGTTAAAGTTTCCTATTTTCCTCTTCTTTTTCAAAGGGAGGGTCTGCTATCCTATGTGAAACTAGAGGTTGAGGGCAAAAAAACACAGAGCCTTGAAACTTGTCCTTGTGCAGTAAAAGGATGGTAGAGAGAGATTAGCAGCTAAAGGTAAGGATGAGGATTAGGAACACTCATGTAAATGATAAAGCTCTGCTTGGCACAGTTGGGGTGCCCCATACTCACCGCCTTGTGTGGGATTTAGACAGAATCCCAGGAAAATGAAAAGACAAAGCAAACGTTACTACAACTTTTTTTTTTTTTTACTTTGAAGAGATTAGAATGTTTAGAAATGATGCTATTTCTCTTGGGTTAAAGAGCTATTTCTCTTAAAGAGCCCTTAGTGCCCACCTGTATGTCAGGCCTAACATCCTGAAAAACAGAGAAACACTGTTGCACTGTATTGACCTAAATCTGTTCTCCACCTATCAGAAGGCCTATCTGCTACTATTAGATAGCATCTGGGGCCTTTAGGTGAGACTCCTCTGCCTGTAACTGTAACTTAACGTTTCCACCAATGCGCTCTCTCTGTCTCTCTTGAATTTTTGAGACAGGGTTTCTCTATGTAGCACTGGCTGTCCTGGACTGGCTTGCTTAGGCTGGCCTCAAACTCACAATAGATCTGCCTGCCTCTTCCTCCCTGAGTGCTGGGATTAAAGTCGTGTGTCACCTCACCTAGATGCCTCCAGTACATTTTTAAAATACCTTGATTTCAAATTTTCTTTGTTCTGTACTATAAGAACTCCATGAAACTGCTTCTATATTGGAACACTGTACTTGGGAAGACCTGAATATATGTTCCTGGACTGTAATCACTCAAATTTGGCTCCAAAATAAACATTTACTCTGAGAAAACAAAACAACAACAACAACAAAAAACCCTTTGATTGAAGATTTACAAAGGAGTCCACAGCAGGGCCTTTCTTGTCCTGCTGCTCCTTGAGGTGGTGTGAGTAGCTAACAGGCTGGCCTCAAACCCAGGGAGATCTGCCTGAGGCACCAGGCCAGGCTGTTAGAACTTATAGTTTTGGCAGTGGTTGTGTAACAGGTTCCTGTCCATCCTTTGGGAAAGCTCTTTAAGCAGGAAAGTAAACGACTCAAAACAGCTTCAGGAAGTCCCAGAAACTAACCAGATTCAAGAGGTCTTTCCTTGCCAGAGTAAGCAACAGAAGCTGAGTCCTTGGACTAAGTGAACCTGAGCTGCAAAGACTGAGGAGAAAAGCTCCAATGAAGACTAAGTCCAGGCCAGATGCCTGGAAGAAGCAGAAACCTGCCCAGGTTTACATTGGCTGGGGCACCTGGGAAGGAGCCTTCCAGGTTTGTAAGCTGTCACTCATGCTGGAGTGGGCTTTGGAGATGCAGCTGTCTTTGAGTTGTTTCTGCTCCTTATAACCCCTTACTATATTCCTGTAAGTAACCCCAATAGAATTTACTGGTTTACCAAGTTGGACTTTGGTAGTAACTGTACTTTGGTCTATAGTGGGTTCCCCAGGAAAAGTGCAGGGTAGATGAATGCAGGTTTATTAGGTACTGTTCCCAGTAGGGTTCAGACAGAGCCAGGAAGTCCCATGTGCAGGCTAAGGTAATGGGTTTTCTAGATCTGAGGCGAGGGCTGTCTCTCTGCGGGTGGGGCTGAGGGAAGGAGGCAGCCGGTGCATTGCAACTTGCATGGAGGTGAGTAGCAGTTCCAACCAAACATCTAGTAGGTAAAATATTTGATACTTAAAGTATAAAACTTAATATGAAGCTTCACAACTTCCATTTCCAGTGGCAATTCCAGCTATATGTAAGCTCTTTAAACAGCCAGGTGGTGAATGCCTTTGATCCCAGTACTTGGAGGCAGAGGTAGGCAGATCTCTGAGTTTGAGGCCAACCAGGTCCCTGTTACAAAGACCCTGTCTTGAAAAAAAAAACAGAAAGAAAGAAAAAAAAAAAAAAAAAAGGCAACCTTTTTGCTGTGTGGCAGCTCACACCTGTAATCCCAGCTCTCAGGGAGGCAGAGGTAGGCCAATCTCTCTGAGTTTGAGGCCAGCCTGGTCTACAAAGTGGGTCCAAGACAGCCAAGGATACACAGAGTAACCAGTCTTGAAAAAAACAAACAAACAAAAAAGCTCTTTAAGTTGTATAGCCTCTGGGTCTGATTAATTTTGGTGTGTTTTTGCTTGCAAGTTTTTTAATTGTTTTAATACAGGCACACATCTTTCATCCCAGCACTCAGGTGGCAGAGGCAGGAGATGAGTTTCAAGCCAGCCTGGCCTACAGCTTAAGTTCCAGGACAGCCAGAGCAACAAAAAGAAACGCTGTCTTGAAAAACCTAACAATACCTTCCCCTCCCCACCAAATCTACCAGCATTCAGGAGGCAGAGTCTCATGGCTCTCTCGAATTGAAGACCTATCTGGTCTACCTAGTTGCAGGAGCACTATGTAGCAGATCCTGACTTGAAAACAACAAAAAATTAATGTAAAACTATTTTTTAAAGTTTTAAGCAAATCTCATACATATAGATCCAGTGTATCTATATGTACAGAAAGATAAATACAGAATGTGAGAGCAATTCACAAAACTGAATAATTCTTTTCAAGAAATGAATTTGTATAAAATTGCCTATTAAAATGTTAATGTAGGATTGCTTTTATTTTTATGAAAATTTAGCCAAGGCTAACCTCCCTTCCTGATCCTTTTACTTCTACCACCCCCGTCCATAAACATGCAAAGGAGGGCAAGTCTCCACACCAAGCTGCAGCCCTAGCCCCAAGTTTTACTAGAGCTGTATACCTAGCAGTCACTGTTATAAAAATGCCAAGCTATTTTCATTTTAGAAAACGAACGCCACCAAAAACTAAATATAATGTATTAGTATCTTTATTATGGCATAATGCAGTACTTTATATAGTAACTCATTTAATGTAAAAACATTTTATGTACAACTGCAGAGAAACAAGTACACAAGACAGCTGGAACTGAAAAACAGGTTGTAATTCCAAAGTCAAGGTATTTGATAAACTGAAAAATATTTTCTCTGTAGAAAATAGTAAAAATGGTAACATTTCCCAATAAATGCACTTAAACCAAATATTAGCTGAATTATACACATAAATATTGTTTAGATCCTGGGGTCCAGAAGAAAACCTATCTTCATTTGTTCAAAGAGACATGTTTTCTTTTAAGCAAGTTGTGTACATTAAAATTCCTATTACTCTCCCCTTGACTGTGTTTGGTTTCCAGCAGGTCATTTTTCTACAGACTAACCCATAATCCAGAAAGGCCTAGCTGTGCCAGCACTCCTAGCTGTGCCAGCACTCCTGAAAGTACAGCCAGCATGTCCCTTCATATGCGTCACAGGGCAGATTTCTTATCCTAATAGTGAAATGTTTCATTACATCGAGCCCAAGTAATTGAACAAAACCAAAACCTATTACAGGGCACAGAGTCATCGACAAAGAAAAGAAATCCAAAAGAATTCCCAGCACAGAGGACAAGGACTATCTGGGTCAGGCTCAAGGTGAAAACTGAATCTAAATAGAAAAAGGACCATGCCTCAACTCTCTGCAGCTGATTTGGTTACCAGAGCTCTTTGATGCTGAGGTGTTCGGGGAAGAAGGTAAGGATCACACTAAAATCAGATATTGAGTCTCAAGATCTTAGCCATCTAAACAATTGAATCTGATTTTCCTTCCTAGCTTGCTCTAAGATTCTCTGTACAGAATTGCTAGGCAGGCTAGACGACCCCACCACTTGAGCTAGGTGAGATGTTTCCCAGAGAAAAGAACACCCAGGCAGGTATTAAAGAATAGCTCAGGCAACTATCATGGGGCCAGGTGCTACGCTAAGTTCCTCAGTTCCCTCAAAGCAACAGCTTAAAATGGCAGTTTGTCTTAGACAGATTCGCTAAACAGTGATGTTTTCAATGGAGAAGCAGCTTAACAGAAATAGATCTTACGTTGTGCTTTAAGATCTAGGCCACTGAGAAAACAATATTGTCCCATTCTGCCCCTTAAAAGCCCGGTTGCACACTAGAAGAGACATGACCCATAAAAGGGCCACCATTCAAAGCATTCTTCCCGCTGCCTCCTCATACGTGAAGATCAAGAACACTGTTGTGCTGTTCTTAAACATTCTTCAGCAATGCCAAGAAAGACCCATCTTCCCTTAATTACTTCTTGGTAAATTAATCTTCCAAAAGTAGGGCAGAAGACCTTAAATACCTTCTATCCAGTCTCATCACCCATGGGGGGAAAAAATCTAGACATCAGACATTTGGGACAAAACTTTGAAGACACTGGTTCCTATGAAAATGTACCTAAATACACTGCGGAGAACTCACTGGAACAAAAGTCACCTAAACGAGAAACAGAGTATGCGGAGACTCTACGGAGTGAATCACAATCTGTGTTACCTGTTCCCATCCAGAGGCTGGCACAAACTGCTTCAATTAGCTAAGTCTGAAATGGCTTTTGAAAAGCACTGCTTGGTAACAGCCCTCAGCAGGTACATGTACAGACCAGAAATTTGCTTGTGAGGAGGCCAAGGAATGCGAACAAAAATAAACAGCTCTGACTCATGCAGTTCTCCAGAGACTGACATATCCCCTAGGTCCTTTCTTTACAGGATATGAGTGAGAGAGACTTTTAGGGACTAGAGATGGAGTTTGGCAGTAGGGCTCGTACATGGTCCACATGTGCGAGGTTCTGAGCTCAGGCCCCAGTGTACACACAAGGATGAACTTGCAAGATCAACATACGAGCATAGATGGATCCGTGGTTGGCTTTACTTCATAAATCTAGATATACGTTGGAAAAGAATGCAAAATGATAGGATGAATTCCTATCCCTTTTCACAAAAGATAGTTGATGGTTAGATCAAATAGTTCAGAAGCCTCTCTGCAAGGAATGGGGGTGGGGGAGCAAATGATCAAAACAGAAGGAAGTACTGGGGCTTTGACAGTAGGAAGGGCACTGGCGTCCACAGTGTGCAGTTCCTGCTTGCTTCTACTCACTGACCAAACGCTTTACCAAAACTCCGCTTCTGGCCTTTATTTGGGGATCTGTTACTTTTGTTGCCACCACCTGGTCGCTGACCTCTGAAGTTTTTACTTCCTCCGCGTTGGCCTTGTCCCCTGAAGTTCCTGCTTCCACCCCGCTGTCCTCTGAAAGAACCACGGCTGCTGTCCCGCTGACCCCTGCCGCCTCGATACCCTTCCAGGGGTCCTTCCAGCTCCGGCTGTTCCGTGGCCACAGTGAGCTGCCAGCGTCTCGAATCATGCCACTTTTCCTGAGGGCAGAAAGTTTATTCCATGGTTTTAAGGCCATAAGAAAAACTTACTGTAATCTCTCCAAGGAACAAGTTGGATAACTAGGTGCTTAGAAAGATGCTAGTGCCAAGTAAGAGGTCCCAAAGCTGTGGTGAGTGTGGGGACAGGCGTTCTGGAGGGCAGCCCGCAATCTACATTTTGAAATTTGCTGTAGCCGTCTGAGGAACACACTTGGCACAGTGTTAAGAAACACAGCAACGGCAAGTATGCAGGAAAGCACGCACAGAGCAGCAGAGCAGACGCTGGGCCCAACTACAGGAAGGAGCAAGGCAGGCCCAGAAGCAGGGTCACAAGAAAACGGAGACTGTTCTCTGTGGTCCACACTGTCACCCTGCCTTCAGAATAAATACTGTATGATTTGGGTCTACAAACACTGAAATCCAAAAGAAAAATACCTGAATTTCCGTGACTGCTTCAGTGCGGACATCAAAACAAACTCCCTAGAAATCAAAGCAGGAAGAGTTAATCCAACTAACACACTGACACTGCAGAATATAAAGAAAACAGAAGGTACCGAGTTAGATGGAACTCGAGAGCCTGGCGAACACAGGCTTCTACAAACAGCGGCAGCTGAAGGATAAGCAACTGCCAGGGCAGGTAGGCACTCCTGGCTGTTACACTGTGCTAATTCACACTCAGGAGGACACAATGAAGAGCAGAAAACGGAGTTAGCTTTTGGGGCTGACCTCTAGCTTTTCATCGGTTTTATGTGAGAACGTGAGAATGGCCTATCAGCTAGGAGCTACAAACACACTACTCTTAGCTCACACAGTGCTGACAGTCTGAGCAGCACTTTTTCCACCCAGAGATTTCACCAGCCTCAGCATGCTGTCAGTTAGGTGCGAAAAGACTGACATTCACAGGCTTCTCCCATGCAGAGCCAGGAGCACCGCGTCACTGGGGTTTCTAGAGAGGGTTTCTAGAGAAGTCACTAGCTCGAGGCCTTCCTATGTAAGCAATCAGGGCAGAGGAAGATTCACCAGGGTGAACATGTTCCAGGAACTCTGCTGCACAGTAAGGACTGGGAAGCTGCACGGGGAGTCAGAGCTAAGTCTCAAAGGACAATGGGAAGGCACTGTTTAGTAACCAAGTCAGCACCCACTGGGAATAAGGCATGGTGTGACAGTAGACAGTAGCGCGCTGGGGTCAAGATGTGGAACTGGTAAGCAAAACAAGCTTACCCTTAGCCTCTGAAGATGGACAGCTGCTCTGATCAGGTATTCCCCACCGCAGAAGCACCTTCACCTGAGACAGGGCTCTGCGCTCTCCATGCACATGTGAACGTGTGCCCCAAAGGTTCCCGCAGTCAAAGCTATTCCCCAAGAACACCTATCTGCCCTGGTAATTCTCATTTTCCCATAAAGGTACCACAATAACTTAAAAAATTTCAATTCAAAATACCCAACTAAGCTACTTAATGAACCATGGAAGGGAAGATGGCAGGAAGGCAGCTGTGTGTTGGGAGGCTGACATTGTGTGCAGAGCAGTTTGGGCTGGAGACTGCGCTGTCAAAGCGCAGAGGAAGAGTGAGGAGATGCAGCATCTCCTCCAGGCAGGGAGCGGACACATTCTGGTTACCAGCTAACTACCAAGCTAAGATGAAGTCACAGAGGACCCAGACTCACCAGTTTGCCTTTGAGGAAGACCATCCCCCTCACTTTGGCATCAATGCTTTCGCCTAGCTGCTCCTTAAGTTCTTTCCAAGCATAACTGATGTTGGGCATTTCAATGGAGCACCGCAGGATCATGGTCACAAAGCCCTTAGGGGAGAGAGGGGCGTGGACTTAAGTCTTGAAAACCAAGCAGCACCATAAGCACTTGCTATGGGGACAATAGTATTTCTGGGGAAGCTTTCCCTGACAGCACAACCACCCAGCCTCACCGATGGGTGGACTGGGGCAGCCTTAGCCTGGTGGGGAGTATTAATGTCAGGACCCAGCCACCAGTTTGCTCAAGGGCTGCCCTGAAGGGGACCGGATGAAGACAGGCTACCAGTGTTCTTATGCCACACTGGTCTACAGCAATAAAAACATGAAACTTTAATGTACCAACGTTCAAGTCAGTGGGTTTTAATACTTCTTTTTTTTTTTTTTTTTTTCCGGTTTTCGAGCCAGGGTTTATCTGTGTAGGCTGCCTGTCCTGGAACTCACTCTGTAGAGTTCCAGGCTGGCCTGTACATCCCCACACCCAGATACAGGCTTAGTACAGTTTAGTTTATTTGTCTCTCTTGAGCTTATGTGTAGACGCCAGACACCAAGTGCAGAAATCTGTTTTCTCCTTCCACTATGTGGAGGCTGGGGATCGAACTTAAGTCATTGTCAGGTTTGGTGGCAGGCCCTTAACCTTAACCTGCTGAGTCTCACTAGGACACACCTATTTTGGGCCCTTCGGTTTTGTTTTTGATTAGGAAAATTGCAAACACAGACAGAGCCTTCCCATCTCCTAGAGAAGGTGAGGCCAATTAGGAAGTTCAAATGAACTCTCAGTTTTGCTTAAGCCATTTTATAAAGCACCAACTCTTTACCGCTTGTGAGTTGATCAAGGAGCGCTGGTCGACAGATGTGGCCCCTGAGATGTGGGCCAGCGCGGCTGCCAGGGCCTCAACAGCTCCTTTCTCCTCAATCAGCTTCTCAGCCGACTGCTTGAAGTGGCCAATGGCGGTAGGAGGCACAGAATCCAAAAGCCTGTGGTTTCAAATGAACTTGTTAGAGAATAATGAAGGAGGTGCTGCCATATGCTGGGAATCCCTTAGGAGGTGGAGGCAGGAGGGTATCAAGTTCAAGGGCATCTTCTAGACAGTGAGTTACAGGCATTGCTGAGACAGAAGACACACTGAGGTACACAGTGCACTTATTTGCTTGTGTTGTGCTCTTTGAGACAGGGCTTTACTATGTCTGAAAGCTGCTATACAGAACAGGATGGCCTCATATTCAGTCATCCTCCTGCTGAGATTCCAGATGTGCAGCACCATGCGCAGCCCTGGTACTGCCTTCCTCCCTCCCTCCTTTCTTTTCTTTTCCTTCCTTCCTTCCTTTTGGTTTTAAGACAGGGTTTGTCTGTGTAGCCCTGGCTGTCCTAGGACTCAATTTGTAGACCAGGATGGCCTTGAACTCACAGAGATTCACCTGCTTCTGCCTCCAAGTACTGGGATTAAAGGCATGTGCCACCACCACCTGGCCCTGTTACTGTCTTTAAATGACAGTATATAATATTGAACTTAAAAAAAAAAAAAAAAAAGGCCACTAAACACTAGTAAGCATTAGTTTAGAACTAGATGAAACTATAGCCACTTACATTCTGCAACTTTTAAGAAATGCTCTATATCAAGTTTAAGAACACAGTATTTTCTGGAGAATGGGCATTGTCTTGGCAGTAACAAACCAGCATATCTGTATGCTATGCAGGGTGAGCTGGGCGGGCAAAAAGCTGCCACCCTAGAGAATATCTCCTACCCACTGCCAGAATCTTCCTCCTCTTCCTGATCACCATGCCCGTATTTCCTACACTTGCTAGTACTCCACAGTGCCCATCTTAGTGCACTTAAAGGAAAACATGCTATGATAAAATCAACTTGAAAATGCAGTTTGGGGAAGGCTCCCACTCTCTCACCACTAAACAAGTAGCACTTTCTTTGCTTATTACATGTTCAAACTGTGTGCAGCAGGAGAAACCACCTTCCTAAAATCCAGGGTCAGCTGCAAGGGTCACTGACTAACTACAGCTGCAGCTCTCCTTTCTTCCCTGGATAACCATACTAGAAATGGCTCAAGGTAGACTTCATCTTCTCACTCCTGGTCACTGCCCTTCAGGCAGCATCTGGTCAGGGTAGTGCTCCAAAAAGGTGAAGCTTCAAGCCATCACAAAGGCACTGGGAAGCTGTTTTTAGGGTCCTTTTCCAACTTCACACTGTCACTCCACCCCAATCATTTCCTGAGCCCCAAGGCATGAAGGCACTATTTTGAGACTGCCACATCTAGCCATGGCCTAGGGATCAGCATTCTGACTCAAATGTGAAAAGTGCTGACTTCTGGGGCCCTGTTCCCCATGTCACATACCCTCTGAGCTCAGGATACATTAACAGGGCATATATGCCAGTCCTCAGTGTGGAAAACAGATTCTGTTTTCAAGATGTTAACCCTACTCAACCCGACTATGATGTGCAGGGGCCAGAGCCAGGAATCCCAAGAACCTGAAAAGCCTTCAGTCTACACGGCAGTTCTACACAACGATGCCGATACCAGTCACACACTCAAGAGGAGAGCTCATCAGTCCTTGCCCTCTATCATTCCTCTTTCACTACATAGGAAGTAAGTGAATTTGGAATGTGGTCACATCTAACTAGGGATGAGGTGGGACATATCCTTAACATGTCCAGCACAAACCCAACTATTGACAGGGCTCAGGAACAGGATGGAGCAGAGGACTGAAAACAAGTACATTTATTCTGTCAAGTTGTCTGTTTTATGATGAGCAACTGATAAGCAGCAAGAAAAGAAACATTGAATGTTCAAGAAGCAGCACGGAAACAGACCTGGGTGATGGTAGAGAGCATACCTTATGGCATCTTTGCTGGAGGCTTTTATTATTTCTGTTGCAGAAGGAACACCTATCCGTTTAAATTTAATTCCCTACAAGAAAACAAACCACAATTTCATGTACAAAGATTACGGCTTCTACTGAATCTAAGTAACATTTCCTTTTTCTTGTACTCTGCGCTTACCTGGCCCTGTTTCCCAGGACCTTAACAGTTCTAAGGAGTGTTAGAGGTTGGTCTGATGCTTTTAGTACTGGCCCTCAAGATTTGGGTACTGCCTGGATATGCCTATCCTTGTGTAAACCTACCTGAATGGCTAATTAAACAGCCTATACCTGGGCAGGGGAGAATGGGGTAGGCGTGGCTTAGAAGGACAGAAGAATAATGGGAAAGATGGATGGGAAGAGAGGAGGAAGGAAGGAGGATGCCACGATGGGTTAGCGTGAAGAAGGAATCACGTGGGCCTGGAGAACAGACTCCCAACAATGGCTTGGAAAGGCCCAGATGAAGAATAAAAGATTATAAGATTATATAGATGGAAGATAGCTCAGATGAGGATGGTTAAGGTGGATGCTGTTGGATAGGGGCTGGGAGGTGGATGGTGAGGTTATTGAGATAGCGTAGGTGAAATATCTGCCCAGCTCAAGGTAAATAAGGCAATTATAAATTCTAACAGGTATCTGTCTTATTTGTGATAGCGGGTTAAATAATACCGCTGAGATAATCTTATAGCTAATAATAAATAATATATAGCCTGACACTTGTTTTTTTAAAATTACTGCAACAAAGGAGTTATTTTATAGGCTGACCCTTAATGTGAGACTGTCCAATACTCACTCTCCTCCATAGACAAAGACTATGGGTTTGGAAAGAGAATTAATGCCACAGGTGAACGACCATCTCACCCCTCCTCTCAGGGCCACCTGCTTCACCACTGCTCACGCAGGCACCGGACTACTCCTCACCACGTTCTAGTCTATGTGGCAGCCACTAAGTGAAGCCACTCTAGTGCAAGGGAGCAGCTAAGGTCTTCCTTCTAAAGGAGGAATTATTTACATAAATTACCAATTCTCTAAGGATATCTAGTGTCGCCCCGCCCTCCTTAAAGACAGGGTATCAAACCTGATTTCACCTGCTTCAGCCTCTCCAGTGTTTAGCTACATATAACCACATACCTAGTTCCCTTTATATCCCGACGCTCCTTCCTACCATCCCTTCTCCATACTCTCTAAGCTCCTGAAATATTTGTGGTCATGTTCATACTATTTTCTAAGAATTGTCTTTCAAATACAAGAAATGTATCATTTTCAAATGGAAATTATTTAGCAGGCCTTCAACCACAGAAAGAACACTCAGCTTTAGCCCTGACTCCAAAGGTTGACGTTGCCTTCAGATCTAAGCATGTGCTGAACACAAGTTTAAAAAGTCACTTTACCGCTTTCTGTTCCACTTGTGCTAACTGGTACTCTTCCTTGTGCTGATAAAAACAGATGCAAACACCTGTCCTTCCAGCTCTGCCGGTCCTTCCCGAACGATGAATGTAAGACTCCACATCCTATAGATACCAAGCGCATGAGTGACACAATAAAGATTAAAGCAGCCCGTGCAAAGCTCACTGAACAACACCAAATACCTATGAGTTTTGAAACCTCTCAAACAGTGGTCCCTGTCCCGAGTGCAAATAGCCCAAGGGTTTGTATATTTCTAAATGGTTGCTTTAAAAGTATTAAAGCTTATTTTATTACATTTATTAAAACGTATTTTTAAAAAGACATCATACTTAACTCTATACACTCAAGTCTTTTTGAAAATTTGTTCACAAATTAGAGTGTTTTTATTCACAATTGAAGAACATGGAACCAGCTTATATGTCCAACAGATGAATGGATAAAGAAAATGTATATAGGCACAATGAATCTTACTACATTACAAAAAATGAAATGAAATCGGCAGGAAAACACAGAAACCAACTCAGAAAAAAAACACTGAATGCAGAGCCCGACTTCTAATTGTCTGTGTACCTATCTAAACTGACTGTGTATAGTTTCTAGAAAATCAAAAGGGCCCATGAGAGGCTTTTACCAAGAGAAGTGGGAAGGTTGCTAGAACATACTACCAACAGGTTATCACATTCTTTTCTACAAGCCTTCAAGATCCAAGGTACAAAATAAAGTTAAATAAAAAGCCAGGCAGCAAATGGTCAGTCTGGAAATCTTTATATTAGAACTCAGGCTGCCAAACTCACAGAATCCTGGAATGAAAGCTATATGCCACCGTAAGTGACAATCTACCGCAAACCGTAAGTCAACTGCGTGGCTTTTAGCAAGGCAGAGACACAAAGCAGTAACTTTGTATTGTTAGTAAAAAACAACAAACAACTGAAAAAACTCACCTTTGGTGGACAGCTTTGTACAACCAAGTCAACCTCAGGGATGTCTAACCCACGGGCAGCAACATTGGTTGCCACCAAAACTCCAAAACTGCCATTTCGAAAACCTTTCAGCGTGATTTCCCTTTGCTTCTGGGGAATGTCGCCATGTAAAGACTGGGCATCCTGCCAAAGAAAAACTGACCTAAGAATTCCAGACCCAATATGACACCCGCCAAGAGGCGCAAGGGCTCAGTTTGGGAATACTCCTGAAAATAATACAAAGTGAAAAACAGATGCTTTCTTCCATGTATATCTTAAATGGAAAAATCCCCAAACCGTCTGTAGACCTCAGCCATCACATCCGCCGTTTCTAACTGTATTCTCCAAGGTTGAAAATACTTCCAAACATGACTACACCTACTAAGTGAAGCTTTACAAGAGAGCCACCAAAGCTGACCAACAGAGAAGCTCCTCCTAATCTAACACACCCAGAAGTCACTGGCTGACTGAAAAGCAGAGTCCAGGGTGAAGACTTACTGAGGACCCAGCCTTTCTGGGCATGAGAAGGACCAACCTGCTTTATACATGTGTTCTGTGATAGCTCCTGGGCTTCCCTCTTGGTTTCACAGAAGATGATAGTACGTCCTTGATGCCCACTGTACACTCGGATCACATCCCCAATAACAGCAGCCCTCTCACTCCAGTGACACTTAATCGCCAGGTGCTTTTAAGAGAAAAGACAACATTTAGTAAAGATGGCTGGGACATTACAGCTCCTTTCTCAACTCTCAAGTCTGTCTTGGTACAGGAAGTAAACGCAGGCCGTACAGGCTGTCTGCTGCCACCCCTGCTTAGAAAAAAGAAGGAAACTAAATATAGCGAAGTCAAGAGCAACATGGTCTGTTCACAGCACTTTCTCCAGAGTGTCTGGCTTCTTTGCATCATATTGTAATCAGGAAACCAAATAGCAGAAAAGAAAGGCCTGTGTGTACTACGCCCCTTCATCCACTTAACAGCAATGTAGTAACTGCTGCACAGGCCTAGTTTTGGGTGAAATGAATTCATCTAGGTACCGGAGCCTAGGATGAAACAGATTCAAGATCATGCATAATGCTGCTCTAATGCCCCCTAGCGACTAAATTCTAAACGTAATCACTTTTGTTTATCTAAACCTAAGTTCCAAATGACTCTGAAATCGGGCTACTAGATAGTGAAATCCATAAAGCACAGATACCATACATATTGACTTGGCTCTTCATAGACAGTATTTATCCGTAAAGAGCTTGTATTCGTTATTCTTAAAACTATCAGACAAGAAACAGAATGACTGACAATTTAATACTAATTCCGGCAACTAAATGAATCATTTACCTCCACAGTTATGGCTGCTTTCTGAGTCTTTTTACCAATCAGGTCCACCTGTTCGTATGTAGATTTCATGTATTTCTTAGCAACATTAAATACCCAATGAGGGCAAGTTGCAGAGAAAAGCAATGTTTGGGGGTTGTCTTCAGAATCTTGGGGGAAAAAGAAGTCAGTGTGAATAATCCAAGCAAGCCTGCATACATAGCACTCCACCTCACCTGACCTCCAGGATGTACCACCAACCACTGGAAGCCAGCCACACATCCAAGACACAATAAAAAGATGCTGAAAGCTCCCAACACACAAGACTGAAATCTGTTAGAGTAAAGGCTCCCTCAATGATGAAAGTACATGGAACCTGTTCTGCTCTCTAGTCTTTGCCGGCTCTCACTCACACAGGAATCTGCTTCATGAGGGAGGCCCACCAACTAAAAGACAACCAATCCTGGAAGGCCAGGTACCAAGCAGCATGGATGTCTACACAGCCCCTGACAAAACCCACAGCAGCGTAACACTGTCAGAATCTAGAACCAGGGCTAGGGGTGCAATTCAGCGACAAAGCCTTGAGTTCAATCCTCAGCACCCCCCAAAGACTCCCAATCTGGACTTAGGAGAACTATTGTTGTCAAAGCCCCAAAGCGCAAGCTGACAGAACCAGATCAGCGCACCTTACAGCCTATCAGTAGCTGTACTCATGGAGACCTGGGCTGCAGAATCAATTCTAGCTACTGCAACTGTGACCAGAACCCTCTATATGAATAAAGGTGAAAGGAGGCAGATGGTAGAATAAATCGCCTGACAAAGTTTTAATACCTAACTGGTGATTTATACTTTACATATACACAAGGAACACACTAAAAGACTGACAGAATATGATATTTTTCTTCCCCCAAGTTTTCACCTATCATATAACAAATCATTTTTTTTTTTTAGTGTCCAAGTTTAAAAAAAAAATTTTTTTTTTTTTTTAATTCCAAGTGTTAGCACGATGGTGGTGGTACACACTTTTAATCCCAGTACTCGGGATGCAGAGGCAGCTGGATCTCTGAGTTCAAGGCCAGCCTGGTCTACAGAATGAGTTCCAGGACAGCCAGAGCTACACAGAGAAACCCTGTCAAATAAATAAATATTCCAAGTTTTCCCAAGTAAGTGTCTTTATTTATCTCCTGGAAGACAATTTCATCACAAACCTGCTTTTGGTCCCTTTCGTCAGTCTCTTAAATTTGGGGCTTACCTTTCTTATATGCCACACACAAAATTTCTTCCACTTGATCGGCAAAACCCATATCCAACATCTGGTCCACTTCATCCAGCACAACATGTTTCAGTTTGGTGAGGTCTAGCTTGCCATTCTGTAGGTGGTCTTTAATACGGCCTGGGGTCCCCACCAAGATATCAATCCCACTCCGCATTCGTTCAACTATTTAAAAAATAGCAACAGAAAGACTTGTCTTGTTTTAAAATTCCTTTTGGCAGTATGGACTTTTTTTTAAACATATTTTCGTTCTTAACTATTACTAGACAGCTACAAGGTAATATGCTGTAAGTAATGACAGTAACAACACTGAAGGCACATAACCTTCAGCAGGACAGCATGTGGAAACACAGGGCCAGCATACTAACATAAAAGGAAAATGAACCAATAGGAAATAGTTGCATAAAAAAATGTTTGGCTCAGAAATTGTGTAGACTTCAAACCTGTAACAATCTTTAAAAAACAGAAACATTATTATTGTATTGAGACAGGGTATCAATATATATACCTCAGATGCTCCTGAACTCTTACCTTCTTCCCTGCCTTAACTTAACAAATGTGTCACTCACTATGTGAGGCCAAGAAATAGGCACCTTTCTGTAGGGTGACTGGGTGTAAAAGGGCAAACACCCTAAGGAGGGAACAAAACACTGGAGCCGTGTGCTCACTTCACTCACTGTGCCTGATACAGAAGCAGTTAGAAGGCTTCACTAGGCAATTTATATTATGATTTTTAAAGGTATTTATTTATTAGGTACACAGTGTTCTGCCTACATGTATACCTGCATGGCAGCCAGGGTACCAGATCTCATTATAGATGGTTATAAGACACCATGTACGTGCTGGGAATTGAATCCAGGACCTGTGGAAGAGCGTCCAGTGCTCTTAACCACTGAGCTATTTCTCCAGCCCACCTTTTATTATTTAATACAATGTTCACAAATAGAAAAAAGTAACCCGGAACCCTGCTCTTCTTCACCATCCTTCAACAACAGGCAAGAGAGAAACCTCGAAAATGTAAGAAAGACAGACTTCAAGCTGAGGATGCACACCCCCGCCCCAGCTTTTGAATTTACTTACTTTGACCACCATATGGAGTTCCACCATAAAAACAAGCCACTGATAACTTTTTGGTGATGTCACTGAAGTCTTTGCTCACTTGATTTGCTAATTCTCTTGTAGGTGCAAGAACTAGTACCTGAGAGAGAAAAACCAGATTTTCAAAGCATTGGGAAGCATGTTCCTTTCTCAGACACCCCTGAAGCATGGCAACCCTTGACTCACCCCATTCACCTTGTCCTATAATGAAACATTTACCATGTGCTTTGCAACACATACCACATGCTAAATATGCAAATGTTCCAGGACCACTGATACAGTCCCCAGGCAGTGCCCTAAGAGCCTGTCGGAACAGTTAGAAGTAGGTGTCCAGATGCATGCTGCTCCAGAGAACTAGGTGGAGAACCACAGAGGTTCAGGAAAGTACGCTGTAGGAGCTACACCAACAACATTAGCTGGTATTCCAGCTTTCCCTGGTGTCTTATGCACTACAAAGTCCTTTCTACTCATTACTCTGACTGAATTCTCAACAACCTTCTTGGCAGATATTAAAGAGTAAATGACTCAAGTCCACAGGCCAGGTGGAGGCCAAGCTTGGGCTTAAACTACAGCAGGCAGAGCCAAACACTTGTCGACAGGTTTCTTTGTACTCACTTCATTCTGGGTACCATCAAAAGCAATGATCCAGAAAGCAGTCTTGGTAGCCTTTATATTAACAACACTCCAGAGGCAAAGGAAAGAGATTCTGTGAGCTAGCGACCAGCCAAATCTAGAGACCATGTCCCAAATAGTACGTATATACATACATACCCAGGATCAAGTCTGGGTGCCCCATGCACACCCAACATTTTCAAGGGAATATGAATGTTAGTAAATATGGATAATCACGACTTTGGGGCAGATTACAGGAATATAGAGCTGATGGCCAACAATCTGGAAGAATCACCCTAGCCTACATTCAGACTAACTTTAGTGACACAAGGACTTTCGGGTTAAGTAGCATGTGCGAACCAAGCCCACATGTGCTTCTGGGGGCTGAGCCGAAGCCTGTGATGAGCTTAAGATAGTTACCTGAGGGGCGCGGCCTCTCTTCCTGTCTTGGAGCCCACTCTGAAGCTTCTCAATCAAAGGGATGGCAAAGGAGAACGTCTTCCCAGTCCCTGTCCGCGCCTGGGCAATTAAGTCTTTCCCGCTGTACACATGGTGGAATGTCTTGGCTTGTATGGGAAACAGGAAGCTCACCCCACGAGCTGTGAGCAAACCAATCATGTTACTAACATTGTTCTGTTTTATGTAAGTCTTAGGGGCCAAACCCTGAAGTTCTGTTAACATGCCAAGCCCAGCTGAAACACACTCATACTTGTGGTCCTATAGAGGTGGGAAATTTTACCTTTTCATAAACATCTACAAAGTGAAGGTCAGGGAAGAATCCACTAGACTGAAATTTATTATTAATAATTTTTAATTATAATTTTAATGGTGTGATTGTATTTGTGATCAAATCTCACCCATAAGCTCATCTGAACGTAAAAGACCAAGGCCCTATGTTCAACACCATTCTGTACCAGGGAAGCATCTGGACCTCTTTGCTGGTTCTGACAGACCAAGGGATCCAAGACACCCTGGCAACATTAGCCTCAGGTGGAAGATGACAGAGATCAAAGACGGTGTGTCAGTCACCACACTTCTGAATGATTAAGTTTTAATAACTAAATCAAAACAGCATAATCCATTTGTAATGCACAGGTCTGCTCCACTGTGCCAAAGATGCTGACACTAAGAACTGGTCTCCATGCACTAGAGTTCAAGCAATGACGCTGGAGTCTCACCTTTGAGAAGCTTGACAGTCTCTTCAGATATTGGAAAATTGGAGAAAGCTCCTTCTTTCTGTTCCACAGGTATTTCTTCCTATCAAAGCAAAAGACCCACAGAAATCAGTAATTCATATGCCAAGTGAATACAGGGTGCCACCAGAGAAAGAGAGCCCAGGGAGAGGAGAGGGAAGCGGGAAGGAGTAGGAGAGCAGGGGTCGGCAAGAGAAGGCTTGGAACCATGAGGAGAAATGTACTGGACCTAAGATATGACTAAAAGCAAGTATAATGGGTGAACTCTGAATGGTAGGAAACTTTGCGGGTTTGGAGGTTTAAGATAGAGTAACTATTGCCCAGTATTGTACTCTAAGTTAATTAAATAAATCCTTCTCTCTGAGTGGAGAGACACAGCTGGTTTAGGAAAAACCACTGTTTAACTAAAAGATAAATCAATAATAAATATTAATAACCCAACAACAGCAGATGAATCTCTGTGAGTTCTAGGCCAGCCTGGTCTACATAATGAGTTCCAAGACAACCAGGGCTATATAGAGTGACTCTGACTCAACCAAAGCAAACAAAAATACCCTGTTGCTCTTCTAGGCTCAGGGTCAATTCCATGTGTAATTCTAAAGGATCTTGACTCAAATGGGCAATAGGAGTGCATTCATGTGGTACACTTACAGACATGCAGGCAAAAAACTCACACACATGAAATAAACTAAAAAGTAGAGAACAAATGGTTACCATAAAGTGTTCACATAGTTTAAGAGGAAAAAACAACTGTTTGGGGAAGTAGCTCAACAGTAAAGGGCACTGGTTAGTCTTGCCGAAGGCCCAGGTTTGATTCCCAACACCACATGGTGTTGGGAATAACCATCCAGGATTCCAGTTCCAGGAAATCCAAAGCACAAAGCCTCAGTGGGTGCCAGGCACAAACAAGGCACATTTAATCAAAACATCCACATACATAAAAATAATAAAATAAACCTAAAAAATTTTTAAACCAAACTTTTACTAGGAAGGAATGTGAAGTTACTTTATAAACACATATATTACATCCATCATATATCTATTAAGTATTTTTTAGCATTTAAAGTAGGAGAAATATTTATTTAAAGATGGAGAAGGCAGAATACACTACTGTCAAAGGTATAATTCCAACCTGATTTTTTTTCAAGTTGTGGATGTACAATGTACTGCAAGGAAACATCCAAACTGTCAGCTGTCTACCTCTCTACCTGTGACATATGTGAGGGAAGAAAACTGAAATATGTGAGGGAGCTTTTTTTCTTCATGGTAAATTTTTAAATTCTCTTTTTCTAGCGTGCGCTTTTTGTGTGTTTGTTTTTTGTTTTTTGAGACAGGGTTTCTCTGTGTGGTCTTGGCTGTCCTGGACTCACTCTGTAGACCAGGCTGGCCTCACACTCAGAGATCCGCCTGGCTCTGCCTCCCCAGTGCTGACACCACACCTGCCTGTTCCACTTCTCTTGATACTCTTCTGTCAGGAAAAAACTGAAAATACTGACCATGAACCTAAGGGAAAAAAAAAATCTTTCATAGGATGTTTTCCTTTCTTGAAACATATAAATTTTCTTTCCATTAAAAAACATGTATGCTGAGGCCCTGGATCCAACCTCCAGCACGCAAACAGTTTTAAAATGTTTATAACTATGTGCAGTGATGCCCTACTTCTCTATAACAGGAAGCACAGCCCACCTACACTAGTAAAACTTCCCCACTAGTGGGGCAGCAGCAGGCAGCACTCCTCCCCAAGCCTCACAGCCAGGTTCAAACACCAGGACCCAAAGGTAGGAGAAAAGGAATGCCTCCAGTGCTATCTACACACACTGGGATAAAATAAGCAGAAGGAAAGCACAAACTTACCTTTTCTGTCTCACTACTACTTTCCTCACCAGGAGCTTCACTGGAGTTCGAGTTTGATTCAGAATGAGAGAATCCATTCTTGAGCTTGGGGCTTTTCTCTGCAGCGTCTCCATTTGCTTCCTTCCCTTTCTTCATTTTCTTGGGCTTAGGAATGTCAGTATCTTCTTCAGAAGGCTCCTCCACTTTTGTTTTTTTGGTTTTCGCAGAGGCCGCTTTCTTCTCGAGGGGCTCCTTTTTCTTCTTGGGGGTTTTGCTTTTAGAATCAGTGTGGTCTTCATGTGCTTCCTCTTGCTTCTTGGCCTTCTTGGATTTAGGGGGTTCAACATCATCTTCAGAGAGCCCTTTCTTTTTAACTGTTTTAGCTTTGGAGGAGACAGCCTCTTCCATTCCTTCTGTGGCTTCTTTGGTCTTAGATTTGGCCTTCTCTTTTCCAGTTTTCTGAAAATTAATTGTGAAGACACAAGCACTGAGCAAGGCTGCTATACTTGTTTAAGATCCATCAATGCTGGATGTCAGGACTACTCATGGAGACCACAGCCTTAGACATCCAAATACTGTATAAATTAAAAATCAGCCCTGAGCACATACAGGTAACCTGTGGGCCGAACTGGCTGCATTTGGGTGTGTGTGTTTATGCAAACAACTTAAAGGGAGACAATGAATTCAAAATCGAACTAGGTGGGGGTTACATGGAAGAAGCTGGAGGAGGAAAGAAGAGGGGAGCAATGATGTAATTATAATTTTCAGAGACAGGGTCTCACTGTATACCTCTTGCTGATCTGGGAACTCACTCTGTAGACCAAGCTAGCATTGAACTCACAGATCCACCTGCCTGTGCCTTCTGTGATTAAAAGTGTGTGCTACTACAGCTGGCTTAATGCAATTACAATTAAAAAAACATTATTAAAAAACAAACAAACAAACAACACAGTATGCTTTCTAATACCATTTCTTAGCTAAAGTGGAAATAAGTATATACCAACAGTTATATTAGCATGGGGGAATAAAGAGTTCTTCAAAGTAACTCTTCAGTTCATACTGGCCAACCCTTATAAAATGGAACTTTCCTAGGAGATTTTAAGGCTCTATACTACATACTAGAAAAAAAAAGAGAAAAAAAAGAAAAGAAAAGAAAAAAAAAAAGGCCAAGATCTGGGAAAATTGTTCAGGGGGCAAAATGCTTACAGTGTAAACATGAGGACTTGAGTCTCAAACTCCAGCACCCATGTAAAAAGATAGGTGTGGTGGGGCATGCCTGTCACTCTAGCTGGTGGGGCTGGAATGGGGAGCAAGCCAGCCTAGGTGAATCAGGGGCTCCAGATCACATAGAAACCTTATCCTCAAGAGTAGAGTGACAAGCCAGGTGGTGGCGCATGCCTTAAATCCCAGCCCTCAGGAGGCAGAGGCAGGTGGATGCCTGAGTCAGAGGTCAGCCTGGTCTTCCAGGATACTCAGAGTGCACAGAGAAACCCTGTCTTCAAAAACCCAGAGTAGCAAATGCTGGAGACCCCCACCCAGCACCGACCCCTCGTTTCCACACATGCAGGAGTGAGCACGCGCACACACATACACATACACACACAAGCACTGTGCAAAGTTAACTAGAAGAGAAATAAAGCTTTGTATGTCTTAAAAGCAGGTTTGTCTTCCCTTCCTAAATTCCTTTATAGATAAAAACACAAATGAAATTTGTACTTCAAAGGACAAAATGAATTCACATAAAGACGAAACAAATAATATTACTAAAACTATCCAATCTATTATTCTCATTGCAAAGCTTTACTTGGGCTTTATTTAAATTTACAACTTCTCATATTATTGAAAACTACCAATTAGTAGCCACTTACACTAGACTGCTAGTAGTGGAGTCCCAGGCAATAACCGTGGGACTAAACTGCAGTGGGCTAAGGCGGTGGTTCTCAACCTTCCTAATACTAGTTCTTCTCTTTTATACAGTTCCTCATGTTTTGGGGCCCCCCGAACATAAATTACCTCGTTGCTACTTCATAACTGTCATTTCGCTACTGCTAAGCGTAGTGGTCCCACAGGTTGAGAACCGCTGGCTAGAGCTCAGCGGGTACGGCACCTGCCAACACGTGAGCAGCCCAGGCTTTCGTCAATGGGACCACAAAAACCGTCTTTAAAATAACGATCGCCTGTTACATACGTGAAAAACAGGAGATAGGGACATAAATGAGTAGGCAGGTCCCTCCCTCCTGACTTCAGTATCCTAGAGCTGTGAATGCGGACGCAGACGCGTAGCGCGGGTGCTCTGAGGTTCCCAGCTAATCGAAATAATGCTGCTGTTTCTTTACAGGGCTCCTAACCTAAAAGCCCCCGGAGACAGCACAAACCTCAACGAAGTCGTACAACACAGGAGATCGGGGACAACTTTGGTTCCCTCCTACTTTGATCATTAGAGACTGTCACAAGTTAAATCTTTTCATCCAAGGAGGTAAGAAGAGACAGGGCGATTTAACAGTGCGCACGGAGGTCCTCTACAGAACAGGGAGTTCACTTAGCCCAGCTGCAATTACACGCAGACCTGAGCCAGAAATTCTAGGCGTTTTCTGAGTTTGTTCTTCACAGAGGGGGAAGCGCGTCACTGCAGACCCTGCTGTCCGCGGCTCCAGTCCACACTGTGAAGCGATCTGCAATCCCCTTTCACACTCTCAAGCCGGGTCAGCCCGGCGTCAGGGGGCCCGCGGAGCGAGGGCCACGCGCTCCCCGCCCGGCCCGGGGCCCGGTCTCACCTTCCCGCTGGGCTTCGGCACGGTCTCCATGCTCTCCTCGGCCGCGTCTGGTGCCAGCCTGGACTCACTCCGGAGTTTTCCCGGCATTTTTCAGCACGACCTGCTCAGGCCCACGGGCTTCCTCAACCGCGTGTACAGGAGAGAGCGAAAAAACGTGGACCGCCTCTCAAACCGGCTTCGCTCGTCACTTCCGGTACGGAGCGCATCCGGCGGAAGCAGCGCGCAGGGGGTGGGGTCAGGGGGAGAGCTGCGCTTCGCGTGCTTTTACGTGGGGTCGTTGGGTGCAGCGTGGATACGGATTCGCACAGGAAATAAACACGCCCGGACGACTGGAACTGGATGGCCTGACCCTGCTTGCCTCCTCTTCCCGAGTCTGCGATTACCGGCCGGCCCCCCTTCTCTACGAACAAAAGTCAGCTGTGGAAAACTGATGGAGGTGCCTGGCTGAGCGCCGGAATGCAGGGAACCAGCGAGATACCTTAGGTCTGGTGACCTCAGCTTGCGGTCCTTGGAATCCAGAGCCGGCTGAGCACACCTCTTCTTTCACGAAAAGCGCGCGGCCGTACCCAGGACCCCATGTACGTGCCGCACAGCAGTGTGAACAATTTAAAAGAGCCAGAATTGGCAGGGCGCAAGGATGCACGCCGCTTATCTCAGCTCTCGGGAGAAAGAGGCAAACGGATCTCTAAATTCGAGTCCAGCCTGGTGCACGTAATTTAAGGCCTGCCAGACACATGAGATCCTGTCTCAACAGCGCTCCCACGCCCCCAAAAAACCCACAACAAATCCACAATTCACAAAAGTTCGGTCCTTTATTCATGTGTGCACCTTACAGACTTCCTGAGCGTTCTTGTTGGAAGTGAGAAATGGCGAGAATTCAGACAACACCCGAGCCGTGCTTGGCAAAGACTATAGAACAGAGGTTCTCAACCTGTGGGAAGAGCCTTTCTTATATTTACATTAAGATTCATAACAGCGAAATTACAGTAATGAAATAGCAACGAAAATAACTATGATGGGGGTCACCACAACATAAAGAACATTAAAGGGTCACAGCATTACAAAGGTTGAGAACCACTGTTACAGAATGATTTAAAAGACAAATGTCACTGGGTTTGAAGGCACACTCAGCCCGTTAACAGGGTCTTGCGACTAGGAACGAGTTCCCAAATATGCTTAAATTGGACAGTTTCCTACTTCCATCAGGTAAGGGAAAGTGGCCAATTGAATGATCAGTGACGATGTTTGTTTTTGAGTCAGGTTTTCAGTGTAAAGCCCCACGTTGGGCGCCGTTTGTTGTGGTACATTAATATTTACTATGTTAAGCAGTGGTTATTCCTAAACCAGCTGTATACCCAAAACACCACACAGAGACTGGGATTTATTTAATTAACCTAGAGCACAATGCTGGGCAATAATTACTGCATCCTAAACCTCCAAGCCTGCATTGTTTCCTACCATTCGGATTTCACCCATTATACTTGTTTTTAGTCATATCTAAGGTCCGGTCCATCCCTCCACGTGGTTTCAAGACACCTAATTCTTTTCCCTTCCCTCCTTGCTCGCTTTCTTCTCCTCTCCGGAACAGGATGTTCCACAATTCAGAGATCGGCCTATGCCGGGATTAAAAACTTGTACCACCACACTGGTAGTAAGTTTTTAAGCTTCCTCTGAAGAACCAGTGATTCAAAGAATTGAGAAACAGTTTATAGTAGCTTGAAAAATTAGAGTGGAGCTGATTCTCTTCCACTTTTAGTGGATTCTAGGTATAGAATTTAGTTCTTCAGGCATGCATCGTGTTTTGTAAGCACCAATATGGGCTGAACCATCTCAGAGGCCCTAAGAAAATGTTTTTAAATGGATCCATTGCAATGTTTATTTACCTATTTATTATGTACACAGTGTTCTGTCTACATGAACACCTGGTGCCACAAGAGGACACTAGATCTTATAGATGGCTGTGAGTCATTGCTGGGACCTCAACTCGGGACTTCTGGAAGAGCAGCCACTGCTCTTAACCTCTAAACTCTCTCTCCAGCCCAATCCATTGTAATGTTATGCTAACTTTGGAGAAAGAGCAGAGTGTAGTAGGAAAAAATCTGGATTCAAATCCGTACCATTGTTGCTGCTTTGGACTTTGGGCCTGAGATAAGTCTCAAAACACTGGAAATGGAAAATGTTCCAGAAATAACTTTTAATTAAATTTTTATTTTTTATATTAATTACAGTTTATTCACTTTGCATCCCAGCTGTAGCCCCCTTCCTCTTTCCATTCCAATCTCACCCTCTCTCCCTCATCTCCTCTCATGCCCCTCTCCAAGTCCACTAATAGGGGAGTTCCTCTTCCCCCTCCATCTGACCCTAGCTTATCAGGTCTCATCAGGACTGGCTGCAATGTCCTCCTCTGTGTCCTGGCAAGGCTGCTAACTCCTTAGGGGGCAGAAATAACTTTTTTTTTTTTTTTCTGGGTTTCTCTTTGAGTAGCCCTGGCTGTCTTGGAACTTACTCTGTAGACCAGGCTGGCTTCAAATTCACAGAGTTCCACCTGCCTCTGTCTCCCAAGTGCTGGGATTAAAGGTGTGCACCACCATACCTGGTTAAGTCTTATTTTTGTTTTCGCCTTTTTTTTTTTTTAAAGATAGAAGCTATTATTTTTGTTAAAACCCTGGTAGAAAACGTAACCTTTAGTAATTCTGTAAGTCTACCTTGCTAACATTTACCTACATGTTTATTACACAAAGCCCTTCAATGACTGATCAAGGCTCAGAAAGCCCTCCAGTGTTGTCAAGTCAACCATTGCTTTCCTCACTGAAGACCACAGCAGCTAGAGCTACTTGTAGTTCACAGTACTTAGACAATGTTGGTTTCTTTAGCTTTCTTTTCTTCTGTGCTTTTGCCTACATGACCATTCCTGGCCTTTTTGTGTTTTAAGTGTTTGTGGGTCTGTGTGGCTATGCACATGGCTTCTGTTGCCCTTGGAGATCAGAAGAGGTCATTGGATGTCTTGGGGCTGGAAGTAAAGGCAGTTGTAAACCACTTGACATGGGTGCTGGAAACACAACTCAGCTTTTCTGCAGCATTGCTCTTAAACAGAGCTCTCTCCTCAGTCCCTAGCCCCAAACCACTACTACCACCCTGTTTATTTGTTGCTGTTGTTTTGGTTTTTGTTTGTTCTCCAGGACAAGGTTTCTTTGTGTAATAGCCCTGAATGTCCTGGACTCACTCTGTAGACCAGGCTGGCCTTGAACTCAGAGATCATTTGCCTCTGCCTCCCAAGGCATGTGCCACCATGTCCTGCTACCACCCCCTTTTTAACATCTGCCAAGTGAAACTCAGTTGTGGTTCTGAATTTCTAGGCTGGTATCCTTGCTTTCTAAACTTGCCAATCATCACACTACCATGAGTTTAGGCTTATATCTAGTATTTCACTAGATTCTGGGCACCAGAGGGCAGAAACCAGGCACTTCTTGTTCACCCCAAAAATTGCTTGGGACATGGACACACCATGATCTGACTGAATGTACTAGTACTCAGGCAGAGACTTGAGTATAAAGTTAGAACTCACAGTCACATAGGTACAGATCCATTACCCTCAGTGACAAGAATCAGCAACCTCTTCCTCACCGAGGAATCCCAGAGATAGATTGCATAATGCTTTACTAACTTTAATTTTTTGCATGCTGCCAACAACAGCTGCCAAGCACCACTGAATCGTGGGGGGAAGTACTTGTTGAATTGAGTCAGCCTGTGTACTACAAGGATGTTCTGACACCAGAATGGCAATTAGGGACGGTGCCTAGGTTATCCTTGTTTCTGCAGGAGATATAAAGTTGTGGATACCACTGAAATTGATACAACTTTGTTCCTTGCTCTGCTGTCTGTAATGACTGTACAGGGAACTGACACTAATCATACATACTGAGTTTGTATTTCTAACCCTTCGATTAACATAGTAAGTTGGGGGCTATGCATATCCCTGTGACGGTCAGCGAATCTTGGTTGGCTACCTGGTCCTTATAAACACTAAGGACCTGCTAAGCCTGTGGAGGAGGGTAAGGAAATTATAAATTATACTGTGGGAGTGCAAGGAATTCCTATTTGTATGGGTAATGGATCTCAATGTCTAAATTTAACTTTTCAAGTTCAGTTATCTGCAGTTAATCATAATAATACCCAGGATTTTATGCTTCATGTATCTGGTTCTAGGGAACAGATTACTGCTACTAGTTCCATAAATCTGCCATCTTGTAAGATGTGGGTTGTCAAAAAGGAATCAGTCTAGCAGTGTACATCTCTCATTGGCTGACCTGCAATCTGGTTCCTGAAGAGAAATACCTCTCCAGCTTTATTTTACTCCTGCTGTTACTTCCCTCACACTCAGTGTGCCCTGTTTGCTCACTACTACCCTTCACTTTCACACAAAAGCCCTTGTAAACTGAAAATGAGTGCTGCTATTACCCCTCAACCCTCCTCATCAGTAACTTGCCAAACTTCACTGACATTTTGGAATCACATCAAATATTCCTCTGCAGTCCTGTCTTTTCATGCTAGCTTTCACTGTTCACAGAAAGTGACTATGTAACTATGCCAGACTTCAACCTCAATTAGTTCCCAACCAGTCTACCACACCCCAGCTTTCTAACTACACTTTTTGGTCTATGTAGTTGGGCTGGAGTTTGCTATGTATAGATCAGCCTCACTTGAAACTGCCAACCTCTTTCTTAGTCTCATCCATTTAAGGTGTGCACCAATATGCCTGGCCTACTCCCGTTTTTAGTCAACTTTAAAACCCATATACCTTTTAAACCATTACATGTATGTGCGTGTGCGTGCATGTGCAGGTCAGGGGTATCAGATCACCTCAAGCTAGAGTTATAGGCACTTGTGAGCTGACTGAAAAGGGTGCTGGAACTCGAACTTGAGTCTTCTGCAAGAACGGTGTATGCTCTTAACTGCTGAGCCATCTCTCCAGGCTCTTCCTTACTCTTTAGATCTCAGATCTCTCCAACTCTCACAGACCTTCAGTTCTCTGTCCCATTACATTGTAGTCACCACTTCTATCCTTAGTCTACAAGCCACATACATAATCATGTTACCGAAATGGTCAGTGTATTTGCTTTGTCAATCTTGAAATCTCTCAGTAGAGCCACCTGTGGTCAGTCACCTGCTCCCATCTCTATTCCCACACAAAATGAGAATGCTATGTTGACCAGGAAAATCATCGTTTCTTCAAATTGCAACCACTGCAATTAAGCCATGCCTTTTGTTTGCTTTTCAAGACAGTTTCTCTATTTAGCCTGGCTGTCCTGGAACTCACTCTATAAACCAGGCTGGCCTCAAACCCAGAGATCCACTTGCCTCTGCCTCCCGAGTGCTGGTACTGAAGGCGTACACCACTACCTCTGGCTTACTTTTTTATCTCAACACCCATACTCGCCTACACGTTTTAGTCCTGACAAAACACCGAAAGGCACTGCTCCCACCTACCTAAAGTTAAAATCTCTACTTTTGCGTTTGATTGCATACCAGGATCTTATTCCATTTATAGTTTTCCCAGTGCCCTCCTTTCTGAACTCCATATCATTTCAACATGCTTTGGATACCCCCCCTTTACCATTGTCTTCATGCACAAAAATCCTAACCACCATCTTGTCTTTTACTTACAGCTTTAGTTTATTCCCCCCTATCCATACACAAATTCCTAAAAACCAGCTCTTCATGTTTGGTATGTGTGTGGCTTGAGGATCTTACAATGTAACCCAGGTTGTAACTCAAACTCACCATATGCTGAAATTACAAGTATGTGCCACCATGCCCACTATCTCTCCTTATCGCCTATTCTTGTTTGATACTAAGCGGCTTCTGCTCTCAATACTCAACTGGTTATTCTTTATGTTAAAATTTTCCTTTTTGTTGAATCTAGTGACAAGCTCAGACTTTCCTATGAAAGCCTGCCATTCCTGAGCATTCTGCCCTTTTCTAAATGGTCCTGTCAATAAGATCACCTTCACTTTATGTTCATTCATCTATCTTGACTCTTCAGACTTACTGTGTTCCTGTGTACGTTGTTCTCTCTGCTGCAGTCCCTCATCCTTCCAAAGTCACCTGGCCAGTGGGAATGACTGCAAGTTTGATACCAGTATAGACTACATAAGAGGCTCAAAAACAAAAAACAAACTAAAAAACCACAAAATTTAAGAAAACTCTTTCTACTGGACATAAACACAGTTACATGAACAGGGGAGTTTCAGCTTTTCTTTTAAAAAGCCTCCCTGAATCTTAAAACTGACTAGGTGCATCCCAGTCCTCTGCATTCCATACCTGTTTTTGTTTTAGTCTTTCTTGACTCATTGTAACTGGCTGATTGCTGGACAGTAAGTTTTATGAAATTAGTGACTTATGTGTGCTCTAGTGATTAAAAAAGCAGATATACAGATATTCAATAAATGATTGATAAATTAAAGAGCATACACTGCTTGGATCCTTATCTACCTAAACCTGTTTATTAAGTTAGACTAGTACACTAACCAACCAGGTCACCAGTTTCCAGCCCTTAATGTGGGAAGAGTTTGGTCTCTTATCACATGACCTGTGGATGAATGGCCTGATATTAATATGCCACATTTATAGACTATTAGAAACCTTAAGTAAGGTTAACTGAACTGCCATTTCTTAGAAGAAATTTTTAAAAACTACATAGAGAAAATTCTTAACACAGAATGGAAACAGACAATAAAAGGGGCTTTTTTTTTAATTCAAAGGTATAGCCAGATAAGTAATTTGTTTGTTTACAACCATTCTTGTGAAATACTTTTTAAAAAAATACGACCAACTTCTTTGCAAATTACAGACAAATACCTCAACTATGATGATCTAATTTTTGGTGAATAATATACATGATTAGACAGAAAGAGGCAAGCTCACACTGGAAGATTAACTATCAAACACTCAGTCAAAATTCCGTTTATGGCCCCCACTTCTTGATCGATTTCTGTTCCCACTTCGTCTTCTTCCATCTTGCCGACTTCCAGACCGACTCCCCTGTCGACTTTGTCTACCTGATCGGCCACCAGATCGACCACCAGACCGGCCTGAACGGCCTGACCTGCCACCTGACCAGCCGCTCCTCTGTCTGGGATTAGAAGATGTATTCCCATCATAATATTCCTCAATTTCAGGTAATTTGGCTGGCACTGAGAGTATCCAATCTGAATCATGCCACTCTGCCTGTTAAAGAAATTTACAAGATTAACAGAAATGCAAAATAAAACCCATAAACAAGTGAGTCAAGAAGACTCACATGTTCAGTTTTTAATCTCAAAAGAAACTTTCCATCAATTCTCAGCCTTCAGGCTAAAATGAAGTGTAAGAAAGCCCTCAGACCCATTTCAAGATTCTAAATCACTAATCCAGTTGTTTTTTAAAAGGTAGCATTCTCTTTCTCAGGACAAAACAATGTTGGAAACAGACCACTAATAAGCAGTGAAGTATTTTAAGCAACTACATCAGCAAAACTAGATGTGAGGCTGATGAAAGAACATCCAAGTTCAAGGACTGCCTTACTACAGAGTTAGTTCAAGGCCAGCTTGGCAAGTTAACTTGTCTACAAACATAAAGTAAAAATCAAGCTAGAGCACTTGCCTAGTATTCATGAGGGGCCTGAGTTTAATTCCAAAGGGGGGTGTGGAAGATTCATAATATTTCTTTAAACTTTAATTTAAAAAACTTTTATGTATGTGGATTTTTTTTTCTCCATATATTTCTGTAGGCATGTTCGTGGAGGTAAAAAAAAAAAAAAAAAAAAAAAAACCAACTTTGAGGAATTGTTTCTCTTCTTCCAACTTTATATGAGTAGCAGAAATCAAATTCATATCAAGCACCTTTCACCTTTAACCACTGGGCCATTTTACTGGCCCCTGGTATCCACAATATTTTAATTTAATTTAATTTTCTGGTTTTTCGAGACAGGGTTTCTCTATGTAGCTTTGGCTGTCCTGGACTCACTTTGTAAACCAGGTTAGCCTCGAAATCACAGAGCTCCGCCTGCCTCAGCCTCCCTGAGTGGCTCAGTGGGCAAAGGTGCTTGTTACCAACACTGATGGCTTCCCACTTCCACAAGTTGTCTTCTGAACTCAGGTACATGCCCACAGTGTGCACATGTCTCACCCCACACAGAAATAGATGTAATAAACTCAGGCCCCTCATTACTTCAAAATCAGAATATGAATAAGCTACATACGTGGCACAGAGAAGGATTAAGTTTGAGCTATATAGTGAATTCCAAGCCAGCCTAGGCTATATACCAGGACTCTGTCTCAACACTACTCCCCAAAATGTACATAAAAGCAAAAATATAAAAGACAAAATTTTTGAGTATAAGAACCTAGTGGACCTCTTTGTTCAATACATAATTAAACATTTTAGAGAAAGTTATAGATTAAGACTTACGAAGCATCAAATCACAATATATAAACTTTATGGGCCTTATGTTAAAAAATATTGACTAGGCAGTGGTGGCACACATCTTTAATCCCAGTACCCGAGAGGCAGAGGAAGGCCAGTCTAGCCTACAGAGCAAGTTCCAGGACAGAAAAACCCTGTCTCGAAACCCCCAACCCTCCCAAAAAATTCAGTAAGGCTGGGGGGAACCTCAGTGTTAACCTATCTATTATGTGTAAGGTCCTATCTTTCAACCTAAAAATATCAAAGAAAAATAATCATGAGACAACATGGAATACTTACATAAAAAATATTAAAGAATGGTTGTATAGAAGGAATTACGTATTAAGTATAGATTATTTAAGTCTAACATTTGGGGCTGGAGAGATGGCTCAGAGGTTAAGAGTACTGGCTGTTCTATCAAAGGTCCTGAGTTTTATTCCTGCAACCACATGGTAGCTTGCAGCCACCTATAATGAGATCTGGTGCCCAATTCTGGCATGCTGGTCTACATACAAACAGAATACTGTATTCATAATAAAAACAAGTCTCTAATATTTAAATATGTAGGAATACTGAAGACTGAAATAACAAAATGCCTGGAGTTTGTAAGCAGTGGAAGTGAATAGAAAGAGATGAAACAAAACTGTCTACAAAATTATCAAATTGTTGAATCTGGTTTTGCTTCTATAGGGACTCATTACAAAATTTTAAAAAAAAGTTTTTATGTGTGAGTGTCTTGCCTACACGTACATCTGTGCCCCACATGGGTACAATCTCTCTGGTGGTCAGAAGGTGTCAGATCATCTGGTTTTGTGAACCTTCATGTGGGTGCAGGAACCTGGGTCCTCCGTAAGAGCAGCCAGTGATCTCAACCACTGAGCCATCTCTCCAGCCCCCAATTATCCTTTACATTTAAGTTAACTATAATAATTTTAAATTATGGGATAGGTAATATTTCATATTAAGGACTTTCTTAATTGATTTAGGTATGATAAATGATACTGTATGTTTTTCAAAACAATATTTTAAAGAAACATACTCATTTATTTAAAAGGTAAAAAAAAATTTTAAATACCTGTAATCTTTCTGACTCACTTGTAGGAACATCAAAGCAAACACCCTAAAAGCAAAATAAGGAGAATTTTATTTAGATGCATGAGTTAATTTTTTTACTAATATTTGTTGAAATTTGCTTTTAAAAAGTATATACTCCATGACTGTTTACAAAATCAAAACAGGTAACACATAAACATAGATGATTTATGTACTTAATATAGTTTCTAACCTAAGATAGAACTAAAAATAACTAGTAAGGCTCTTAAGTACCTAGAATACTCTCTAGAAGAGTTTTGTGGATAGTGTAATTGTTCCATATCCCTTAGAAAATGGTCCATCTAGCCAGATGTGGTTGTGCATACCTGTAATCCCAGCACTCAGGGAGGGAGAGGCAGGCATATCTCTGTGACCAACCTGGTCTACAAAGTGAGTCCAGGACTGGCTCAAAAAACAAACAAAGAAAAAAGAACGAAAGAAAAGAAAAAAAGACAATGGTCCTTCTAGGTGGGGGGTGGTGATGCACTTAGTGCCAGCATTTGGGGTGGAGGAAAGAGGCACAGGATGGGATACACGACAGCCTGTTCTATATATAGTGATTTCCAGGACAGCCAAAACTACAGAGGGAAACCCTGTTCTGAAAAACAAAGAAAGAAGAAAAGGAAGGAAGGAAGGAAGGAAGGAAGGAAGGAAGGAAGGAAGGAAGGTGAGCAAAAGAGAAAAGAAGAGTCCTTCTAGCTAGGTGGTTATAGTGGTGAACAAATTTAATCCCAGCACCCAAAGGCAGGTGGATCTCTGAGTTCCAGTACAGCCAGGACTACACAGAGAAACCTTCTCAAAAAGAAACAAAACAAAACAAAAAAACATGAAAATGAGCCAGGTGGCACACACCTTTAATCCCAGCACTCAGGGAGAAAGAGGCAAGCAGATCTCTGTAAGTTTGAGACCAGCCTGGTCTACAGACTGAGTCCAGGACAGCCAAGGACTACACAAGAGAAACCCTGTGTCAAAAATACAACAACAACAACAAAATGAAAATGATACTAATAAATTTCTTAAAAATATCAGTGAGAAGCTAGGAACACAGGTCTGTGGTATGGTACTTGCTTATGATATGCAAGTCAGTAGGTCAAACCCTAGCATTGTAAAAGACTAAGATTCTTAAAAGTTAAAATTGGAAAAAGAAAGTTTTTCTCTCAAGGAATTATAAAAACTAAGGTGTTTCCTTTGCATCCTTGGTGGTCATTAGTTAAAATTAATGCTCAATAACTGGTTTGGACTACGGGTCTTACTTGAATTTTCTTTCCCTCTATTTTTTGTTATGTGTTTGTGTATGTGTGTGTGCATATATTTGTCTCCTAATTGTCTCAACTCTTTGTTGAAGTAATACTAAACTTTGAGAGATGATTATTCCCAATAAGCAATCTTAACAGCTTTTAGACTAGAACAAATCTATGTAGTAATATTAGGTAAATAACCTTAGATCTTCTTAAAACACTAAATCAATCAGTAAGATTAAGTTTTAAGATAGATGTGATGACCCAGACCTTAGGAAGCAGAAGCAGTGGATCTCTGTGAGCCAGCCTAATCTACATAGTGAGTTCCAAGACAGCCACGTAGAAAGACCCTGTCTCAAAAACCCAAAACCAAGCAAACAAAAAGCTTTAAATACTTCATTTCACAGTAACTTACTTAGGCACATGCCTGTAACCTCAGTACTTGGGAAGTAGAATGAAGAGGAACAGGGACTCAAGCCTAGACCGGGCTACTATGAAACACTAACTTAGAGAAAAAGATCGTATCATTAATCTCATTACCGGATAACAACAACAACAAAAATACTCTGTATTCATTGAGCTGTTAACTATTAAACATATAATTGTTAAACATATAAATTACTTAATCTTAAAAAGTAAACACACAACTACCCAGTAGAAACTTAGATCACTTAAGTCTTGGACAGGTGTGGTGTCACCTACTTACAAAGCCAACATTCAGAAGAGGATCCTGGGTACAAGGAATACCTTGTCTCAAAATAATAACAGCAACAAAAACTTAGGCATTAATCAAACAAAAAAAGAATGACATAAAGCTCTGAAGGAATGTATCATTTATATAATCCCCCAAATTTATAAACAGAAACAAACCAATACTCAGATAAAACAGTATTAATCTTTCAGAAAAAGGGGAGAGGGGACAACTCTGAAATCTTTAAAACCATTATCAGTATCTGAATAAAATGCTTATTATCTACAAAAACCTACCATATTTCCTTTTAGGAGGCACATTCTGGTTACTTGAGACACAGCATTGCTACTCAGCTTTCTGTGAAGTTCTTTCCAGGCACAGCTGACATTCTGTATTTCTTCTGGGCTTTCCAGAGTCATGGTCACAAACCCCTTTAGAAACAAAAATCCCATTATATTTGGAAGAAAATCAGCCGTAGGACAATGAAGTGTTGATTCTATCGTGCATCCTGAATTAACTACACAGTTCCCGTGTGTGCCAACAGTGAAACACAGCTATTAAAACCTAACTTCTCTGAAACCGTATTAGAAGACTACTGTTTACACATCACCGATAGCTTGTTCTGTATACTGCTTTTACAGATCAACAGAGACTATGTTCTGCTCGTTACAAGAAAGAATCAGAGCATCACAGGAAGAGCTAGGGAAAAAGTCGTCAAGAAATAAATGTTAAAAAGTCAGTTACTAGAGCCAGGCAGTGTTGAGGCAGCCAGATCTTTTGAACAGGCTAGCCTGGTCTACAGAGAGTCCAGGACAGCCAGGGCTCTGTTACACAGAGAAACCCTGTGTAACCAAAACAAAAAACTTTTGGAGGACTACCGTATAATAGTGACTACCTCCTATACAGTACTAGAGACTTAATGACCAACAGACCTTTCTCTGTGGACATGGCTCTCTGGTGGAAATAGTAACAAAGTATATAAAATACCACTGACATATGCATCATGAAGAGTAACACCACAGGGCTAGGGAATATAAAGAGAGAGGAGGGGACCAAGGTGATCAGGAAAGATTTCTCTAGTGTGGTGATATCTGAGCAAAGACCAAAATAAAGGAGGAAGTCAAAATATGAGGGAGGGGTCTGAAGCAAGGTCTATGCAGGAGTGGGTTAATGAAGAAGTAAGTCAAATAGATTCAGACAGCTAGAGAAATCAAGAGTAGAAAAAAAAAAAATAGTCACAGGTAGCAAGCAGAATACCCTGCAGGACATGCATTATGTGTCATTCATGGTAAAGACCAGGCTAGGGAAGACAGCTCAGTGGTTAAAAGAAATGGCTGCTCTTCCATAATTTCATAAGGTGTTCCCAGCATCCCTAAGGTAGACCACAAGCAGTCCCAGAGGATCTGCTGTCCTCTTCTGGTTTCTGAAGGCCCTGCATGTACAAGGTACACATACAAATATTCAGGCAAAATCTCTTAGACATAAAAAAAAAAAAAAAAGACCTCAAATATAGTTTAATCCATAAGAGAAATTTCAAGCAATTAGTACCTTGTCCCCAAAATATTTTATTAAAAGTTATATGGCCTAGCTAATAAACGATGCTTGCTTTGGCAGGCCTCAGACTTGCAGCAGATCCCCTGTCTCAGCTTCCAAGTGCCGATTGTAGATGTACATCTGTGGCCAGCTACACAATTCTTTCATGGGACAAGGGTTAGCAGTGAGGTGACCTCACTTTTCTTTAAAAGTATATTTTTAAAGTTGTTTTCTTGGTTTTGGAGCCTTGGCTTTCCTGGCACTTGAATTCACAGAGATCTGCCTGCCTCTAGTGCTGGGGCGAAAGGGGTGAGCCATATTTGAAAGGCTGAAGCAGAAGCGTGTTACTTCAAAGCCAACCGAGGATACACAGTAAGACTTTGTTCCAAATAAATATAATGCACCAGACTGGTGCATAGTGGTGCGTGGTGGTGCATGCCTAAATAGGAGGAATCTCTGTGTGAGTTCTAGGCCAACCTGGCCTATCCATTGAGTTCTAGGCCAGCCAGGGTTACACAATGAGAGTCTGTCTCAAAAATAAAGAAAACAAGCATTGGGTTGGATTTTGTTTTTGAGACAGGTTTTCAGTATATAGCCCCAAATTGCCTAAAACCTTTATATTCAAGTCTAGCCTCAAATCAGTGTCTCTAACTGTCTCCACTTCCTGAGTGCTGGGATTGCAAATATGAACTACCTGGCTTTTGTTTGGTTCTGAGACAAGCTTTGCTGCTTATGTAGCCCAGGCTACCCTGAACTCATGATCTGCCTGGCTCAGTCTCCTGAATGTTGAATTATAGTCATGGTCACTACTCCTGGCTAAATATTTTATTAAGCATCTAATGAGTTTTTAGGGACTTAGTGCTAAAAGATCACCAACAGATTACTATTCAGACAGTAAAACACACTTTTAAAGTGAGTTTTACATGACAACTAGTATTCTTCCCTTTCCTGTCCCTTCTGAAGACTCACCTCACAGCCCCACTTACATTGCACTAAGTAACACATCTCTGAACCACTTGCAAATCTGACACTAACCTAGAAGCAGGCCACTTGGGGGCTACACATACACTCAGACACATAAACACATCCTACATATATCTTTACTTTGCCTGAACAAATCCACTCCCTTTGCAGTTGCACAGCAAATAGCAAAATGAAAAATGCCTGTTTCAGTTGGTACCATATGGTAGAAAGCTTTAGACACTGCTAAGAGTGATGAAATAAGAACCTAAATTGCCAGCATACGCCTATAAATCCCAGCTCTTGGGAGGCAGAGAAGACGAATCTCTCTGAGTTTGAGGCCAGCCTGTTCTGCAAGGTGAGCAAGGATAGCCAAAACTACACAGAGAAACCCTGTCTCAAATAAACAAAAGAACTAAATTCCCAGGGGGCAGGAAAGACACAAGCCACACCTATGTTTAAGACTGCCAGGCTGGCTGGCTGGCTGATAAAAAATGTTAGTAAACTGAAATGCTACAAATCCTGAGCAAAAATTATCTTTGGAATTTTGTACCTCCCCACTTACAACTTCCTAATGGCCATTCAATGCTGACCTCTGTATCTGACCTAACAGCCTTTCAACTATCAAGGGGAAAACAAAACAAAACACTTCACAATCTCAGCAGACCAATAGCTTCTATAGATACAAAAGCTAAGGATGTCATCATGTATCATCTAAAATCTAGATGAGAGTTCCCCACCTGGCTACAACCTTCCTACCTGATGTCCCCAAGAAAGTATGAAGTAAATTCTCTGATTTTTGAGTTTCTTTACTTCTGTGACTATGAAAGCACCTGTAACCACTTCCAACATATGTCATGTTGACCTAAATCCAAATTCATGCTAACTTATATACAGCTCAAAATAAAACTATTTCATATTCCCTTTGGAATGAGAGCTATGTTTTTTATAGAAAGAAGCAAATCTAAATGTAACAGATATCAGGTGATTGAAATGGAAGCTGATTTGTAAGCAGGTTAGACTGTGATATGGTTAAGTAGAATATTATTTTTTTAGAAGTTGAAGTATTTAGGAATAATATCCTCATATTTCAACTTTCAAATAGTTTGCAGAGAAAGTACATTTGAATATAAAATGTTATACAATATTAACAGTTGTTGAATTAATGTGGATGGTATTTATTGTAATGTTCTTTCTCCTGAGTGCTGGGATTGCAGGCATGTATACCAGACAGAAAAAGGAAAACAACAGCAACAACAACACTTTAATATACCGAAGGAAATCAGGTGCAGCATTTGAGTAATGTGCTATAACTGCTACAGCTCAGTTTTAATCATCTCTAGCCAAATATCACTTTCTCATACTTTTCTACCTTATCAGAAGTGATCAGAGATCGTGGTTCAAAGCTTGATGCACCAGAAATGTGAGCTAACGCTGCAGCCAATGCATCCACTGCCCCTTTCTCTTCTATCAGTCTTTGAGCTGATGGTCGGAAAAAATCAACAGCAGCGTAAGAGACAGAAGCCAGAGACCTATGGTGTAAAAATAGTGAACATTCTTGGTTAAGATACAGGGGAAAAAAGTAAAGGCAAAATCATAAATGGGAAAAGAAAGAGTAACATTTCCATATAATAATGTAACTAAAACCCTTGACTAAAATTGTCTCTTATTTGAACTAGGAGAGCTTAAAGATGAACAGCCTAATACAGAGGAGAAATTACTCAGCAAGGTCAGAAAGCATACCTGATGGCATCCATGCTTTTAGATTTAACTAAATCCATTGTAGAAGGTACACCTACACGTTTAAAAGTAATTCCCTGAAAATGAAAGAATTATATTAAAGAAAAAGGAAGTTGTCATAGTTAATTTCTAAATTAATAATTTGTTGAATTTCCATTTCTTCAAAATGAAAATTTTCAAGCCCTAGCTGATGAAAAAAACTGCCTTTTCTAATAAATCATCTATAACCGACTCCAAAAAAAACGAAACAAAAAAAATTTTAAAAATTGTCCCTTAGTTAAATCATGGAATTTCACTTGCAAAACAAAGTTGATTCAAAAAAAGAAAAATATGTCTAAATTTTAGTCTGTCAACATTTTTTCTCATCACTTTCACATTATAAAATACATTAATATATAAAAATAAATGTAAAGGTAGGTGGTAAAATGTGAAAGACTATCAGAGAGTGAAGACCATAAAAACTGTATTTTTTAATAAATCTGGCTATTGTATTACCAACCTATCCTAACACAGCAAGAACAAATCAGTTAGTTACCCATTCACAATGCTTAGATGATATTGAAACCACTGACACACTTTCAACTTTACTATCAACGGAGAAATTCAAAGAAAAGAGGAGCATGTCAAATCTTCTTTCACAATAAAAGCTGTATAATACAAAGTCTTGCAACTAATATAAATTAAACTCTCCACATGTTTGCCATCCAAATGCACTTAAGCTGAGAAAGTTAAGTTCACTTGTGAGAACAAATTTTAAAAAACCACTCTTGTAAGGTGCCGTTTAGATAATAAGCCTGGAGTAATTTCACTTCACTTACAGCTTTCTGCTCCACATATCTCAGCTGGCCTCTTTCTCTTGGTTGGTAAAAACAGACACAAATTCCTGTCCGGCCAGCTCTACCTGTGCGTCCAGAGCGATGGATGTAAGATTCAACATCCTAAGAAGAAAGGAGGAACTTCATTTTATAAACTTGGCCAGCCAAGTCATCCTGCTGGTACCTATAATCACTTCTCAGGAAGGCTGAAGCAAGAGGATCAACCAAGTCTAAGGGCAGCCAAGGCTGAGACCTTGTCTCAAGCCACCCATTCCCACAAAAAAAAAAAAAAAAAAAGTCAGGTGGAGGTGTTGTGTGCCTTTAATCTCAGAACTCAGGAAGTAAAGGCCTACAGATTGAGTTCTAGGACAGCCAAGGGTACACAGAGAAACCCTGTCTTGAAAAACAAAACAAACAAACAAACACCAAAAAATAATTAGGCATGGTAGTGCAGCCCTATAATCTTAGTACTTGGGAGGCTGCTGAGGCATTAAGTTTAAGGCTAGCCTGTGTTAAAAAGTTTCAGGCCTGCCTGGTCTGAGACCATTTCTCAAAAAAAAAAAAAGCAAAAATAAATTCAATCCTTCTGTACTTTACGACAGCACAATTAATTTATAGACATTAAAATTCTACGGTAAAGTTCTAAGTTTAAAAGCTATTATCCAAACGTGAATATGGACAACAACAGACATCTAAAAAAGGAAGAGGAAAATGATGCAGGGTCCAAGGCTAGACAAGAAAATACAGGTAACGAAGGAATCCTGAGAGCTAGAGCCCTCCAGTTAGTTATCTGATAGCAAGAGGTCAGTCCTGAAACCACATACATAAAGAGTAACGTAAGGAATGAGCAGGCTGTATTTACATACTTAGAAGGATGAGTATATACCCAAAGAAAAAGAGGCTATGAATTTGGGAAAGCAGCAGGGGTATATACAAGGGATTGGAGGAAAGAAAGAGAAAGAAATGATGTGATTTTGTTGTGATTAAAAAAAATTAGCTATTTATCCACATCTATATCCGTATAGAGTTTTGTATATGAAACTTTAAAAATTCCTTAATGATGTTGTCATCATTTTTTGGTTTTGTTCAGAGATTCTATTATGTATTCATGGCTGGCCCAGAACATGCAGTGATCCTTCAGCCTCTGCTTCCTGAGTGCTGCGGTTTTAAGTATGTGCCACCACGACTGGCTCCTTATCTGATTTTGTTGATCAATCTTTGGATGCAAACAATAACATTTATTTACATGAACAGTACATTTGATCAATGTACTATCATCCTAACAAAACACAGGTTAAGATCAACAACAAACAAAAGACCTATCTTTCACATCTCAAGCAGTGTTTTGTAAATCTTTCCTACCTGTGGAGGAGAACTCTGAATCACCAGGTCAACTTCAGGAATGTCCAAGCCTCGAGCAGCCACATTGGTTGCCACCAAAACTTTAAAACTCCCTTCTCTGAAGCCTTTCAAGGTAATTTCTCTTTGTGACTGTGCAATGTCCCCATGTAAACACTGGGCATTCTGTTTGAAAAAGGAAAAAAAAAAGTGTATAGATCATACCTGTAATTGAGTATCCCAACACCATTCAGTCTGTGCCCTTGTGGTTTTTTTTCCCCAATGTTATCTTTAATAACAATTATGCTTCTTTAAAACAAACAAACAAACAAACAAACAAACAAACAGGGCTAGAGAGCTGGGTCAGGAGATAAAAGCACTTTGCCATCAAGCCTGCCAATCTGTGTTTAAATTTCAGGGGCCAAATACAGCCTAAGAATAGACCCCTGCTCATTTCCCTTTAACCTTCACACTCACACTATGAGCATGTGCACATGTGCACAAATACTAAGCACACAGATAAATGTAACAATTTTTAAAACCCAAAACATTCCAGAAAATACGAAAATATTTCATAAAATGTAAATCTTATTTAAAATCAGCCTCCTAAGACATAATTAATTGGTAATAGTTTGAAGGATAGTTGTCTATACAGGTTCTATTTCCACAGTATCAGGGACTGAATCCTTTGTTCATCCTGGGTCAAGGACTGACTGGGGAGTACCAAAGAGTCAATCACTGAACTACATGCTAGACTGAAATGGTTTGTATACTTCCTTTTGTTCTGCAGACAGTCTTAAAATGTAATCCAAATTAGCCTCAAACTCATTATCTGCTGCTGCTTTAGCTTCCTGAATACACAGATTACAAGCACCAACATGGCCAGGTTTTCTGTTTGTTTGGATTTACTACAAGTGAATTTTAGCCAGGCATGCCTTTAGTCCCAACAGTCAGAGGCAAAGGCAGGTGGATCTGAGTTCAGTGTCAGCCTGGTCTAGAGAGGGAGTTCCAGGACAGCCAGGAGGGTTGTACAGAGAAACCCTATCTGGAAAAACTTAAAAAAAAAAAAAAAAAAGTAAGTTTAAATATTTTTAAAGACTTATATGTGTAAGTGTTTTATCTGCATTTATGCCTATGCACCAAGTTTTGCACTCTCAATCCAGAAGAAGGGTACTAAACTGGAGTTACAGATGGTTGCCAGCCACCATGTGGGTGCTGGGATTCAAATTCTGGTTCTCTGGAAGAGCAGCCAACATTCTTAACTGCTAAGCCATCTCTCTAGCCCCAGTAGTTTCCTTCTTCTTATTATTATTGGTTTTTGGAGACAGGGTCTCTCTGTTTTGCCTTCTTTGGCTGTCCTGGCCTCCTTTTGTAAACCAGGCTGACCTCGAACTTCACAGTGATCCACCTGCCTCTGTCTCCTGAAGTGCTGAGATTTCAGCACCACTGCACCCAGCTCCAGTAGCTTTTTTTAAAAGACAGGTTTAAGCCTAAATTGGTCTTAAATTAGCTACACTCCTACTTCTATCTTCTGAAAACTGGGATTATAGGTTAGCTACCATTACTGGCTAACTGGCTATTTATTTTAAACATTTTTGTTTTAAAATAAATACAAGAGGTCAGGGTTCTGGTAAATGCTTTTAATCCCAACACTCACAGGCTGAGGCAGGCAGATCTCTATGACTTTGAGGCCAGCCTGGTCTACACAGCAAACTCCAATTCAGCCAAAGCTACATAATGGAACTCTTTCTTGAAAAAAGAACAAATTAAATACACCAGAGCAGGGGAGATGGCTCATTGGTGAAGCACTTTTGGAGCAAGTTTGAATCTTGAGATTGACTCCCCCAAATTTTTCTAAAGCCAGATTCTGTAGTGGGTGTCTGTAATCCCAAAGCTTCTACATTAAGATGGAAGGTTGAGACAGGAGGATCCTAGAAGCTCATCAGCCATCTAAGCTAGGCAAACAAGCAATGCTTTTTCAAACAAGGAAGAAAGCAAGGACCGACACTCAGTTACCCTATGACTATCACACACTCGTCATGGCACAATATTCATTCTCTCTCTCAAACACAAACACACACACACACAACTGAGACTCTTTATCACACACACAGAGAGAGAATATGAGCCAGAGAGAGAGAGGCGGAGAGGAGGAGAGAGGGACAGAGGAACAGAGAGGGGAGAGATGCTACAGCAGTTAGGAGGACATGCTCTTCTTGCAGTGGCCAGACCCTACATAGTGGCTCAGAACTGTAACTCCTATGAGCTCTGATGCCCACTTCTGGTTCCTATGGATGCTGCATGCATGTGGTGCACATACATGCCTATAGTCAAAACACTCATACACACAAAATAAAAATGAAATTTTAATAATAAAACAAAATACAGCTAAGTGGTGGTGACACACACCTTTAATGCCAGCACTCAGGAGGCAGAGGCTCGTGGATTTCTGAGTTCAAGGCCAGTCTAGGCTAAAGGGGTAGCTCTAGGATAGCCAAGGCTACACAAAGAAATCCTGTCTCAAAAATACACACACACACCCCCTTTCACACAATTCACTCACTAGCATATGCAACAAATTTGTGTCCATAAAAGTGGGATACTCCTATCTTCTGTTTTACAATCTAATTTATAAATTTAATATAATGTAGCCCCTTTTTTGGTATGTGAAAGTGGAGTGTTGTGGATAGAAACATGTTTTTGTTTTGATCCCAGGTGTAAGATATGGGACTGATTCAAATTGTCCAGAGCAGCAAAGTATTTGCCTCATGCCAGCTCTGAGAGGGCCTCTTTACCAGCTGCAGATAGTTTAAATCTGAGGACTCAAGACGGAATAAATGCCAGAGCCAGAAGAGATCTGAGAAAGGCTGCTGGTGCTTCCCCCCACTGCTGCTCCTGCTTGCTGTTGATACAGTAGGATGAGAAGTTGGAGATCTCCTGAAATGAGGAATAGACTTGCCCAAAGAACCAGCAGGAAGCAGCTAAGAGAACTCTGGCCCCTCTCCCACTAACACTTCCTCTTTACCACCCAGTGTTGGGGTGGTGGAAGGGATTGGGGTGGAATAGGGAGAAAGAGATATTAAGAAACTAAACTAAAAGAGTTAAAAAGTAGCAGTGTAACAGTGGAACCCCACTGATTTTTTTTAACTGCATGCACTTTCTTCATATGGATGCAAAAACTTATTTTGGCAGTATCTTACCGATGAACACCAGTGTTGTATATAAATTTTCACAAAAACAATGCTGCAGTGAAAAACTTTTTACTTAACATCTTTGGATATGCCCATGTATGTGTATTTCAGAAGGACACTTAGCTAGAAATTTAATTTGAGTCAAATATAATGAATATTTAGACATGTTCTATATTTGGAAAGGGTGTCAACCAAATATGACAAAGACCTTGGATTCAAAACCACCCCCCAAAATTAAGACTTATAATATGTATGGATGTTTTGCCTGCATGTATGTCTGTATACCACATGTGTCCATGGAGGCCAGAAGAGGGGGTCGCTAGATCTCCTGATTTGGAGTTACAACATAGAAATAGGGCCTGGGTCCCCAAGAGCAGTCAGTACTCTTAACTGATAAACCACTTATCCAGCCCCCAGATTTTTAATTGGTTTTGCCAAACTACTATAAAAAGTATCGTACCCACTTAACTTTATTTTTGAGACAGGGTTCCTCTGTGTACTCACTTTGTAAACCAGGCTGGCCTCAAATTCACAGAGATCTGCCTGCCTACCTTCCTGAGTGCTGGGATTAGAGGCATGTACCACCACGCCTGGCCAGTAGTCTGTATCTATTTCAATCTATCCAACAATGTCAGTGTGTTATAAATCATAATCCTTATTAATCTAATAAGTATTATTAAATCCTTATTAAACTAAACCTACTTATGCTGTACTGACACGTGTGCCAGCAATACTTTTCCTAATTTTTTTTGTAAAAAAAAATATGTTTGTGTGTATGTGTGTGTGTGTGTGTATCTACGCATACATGGGTATTTTGCCTGCATGGGATGTCTGTGCACCATATGCAGTGGCCACAGTTGCCAGAAGGGAGTGTCAGATCCCCTGGAACTGTTACAGTTAAAAAAATCAACTGATGGGGGTTGGAAAGATAGTTCATCGGTTAAGAGCAATGTCTGCTCTTCCAAAGGTCCTGAGTTCAATTCCCCGCAACCACGTGGTGGCTCACAATCATCTATAAATGAGATCTGGTGCCCTCTTCTGGTATGTAGGCATACATGCTGGCAGAGTGCTGTGTAAATAATAAATCAAGCTTAGGTAAAAATTCTTATACATAAATGCTACCTAGGAAATAAACATTTGAACAGACTATTGCTAAAACAGTGAAAAGATTTGAGACTGGAAAGGAACAAATGAACACCATCTTGGAACAATGGGGAACAACTGAATTAGCATAAGGAGAATACTATCCTGAAATCAGTGTAGTAGTGCACAACCTTAATCCAAATACTCAAGAGGCTGAGGCCAGCATGATACACACACTACTACCTTATTTGTTTGTTTGTTTTTGTTTTTCCAGTTTCTCTGTGTAGCCTTGGCTACCCTGGAACTTGCTCTGTAGCCCAGGCTGACCTCAAACTCTGCTGCCTCTGCTTCCCGAGTGTGCCACTATGCCTGGCTTACACACACCTTTATAAAAAGTACTTATTTTATGTCCATGTCTAAGTGCCCACATTTATGTATGTGTGCCATGTACATGCCTGATGTGATGCCTGAAAACCAGGGGATTAGATTTATAGACAGTTGTGAGCCACCAAGAGTACTAGGAACAAAACTCAGTGACCTTAACTACTGAACCATCTCTCTAGCCCCCACAAAACAAATCTTTATCTTACAGTGACTCTGGTGACAGAAAATAGAAAAGATGATGCTGACAAAGCAATTAGTAGCTTTGCATGAGGTCTGGACCTGAACAAACACTTGGCGCTAGAGAGCAGTGGAGAGTGGATGTTTCTCATTAACTACAAAGAGTCAGAAGAGACAGATTTGGTCCTGGCAAAAGAGGCAAATGTAAAATGTCCTCAAACGGAAATTGCTTTTTATGAGGCCAAGAGATAACTCAGTGGTTAAAAGCACTAGCTGCTCTTCCAGAGGACCCATGTTCAATTCCCAGCTCCCACATGGCAGCTCACAACCATTTGTAACTCCAGTTCCAGGGGATCCAACACTCTCACATACATACAGGCAAAACAACAATGCTCATAAAATAAAAATCAATTATTTAAAAAAAATTGTTTATTAAAAAAATTATTCACTTTCTTGTCCAGAAGATAAATCTCAGTAATTATTTCTATTTATATATTTATTGAGTCTTGAGTTTTAAATTTACTATTATAAAAAAAAAAACTATATTCTAATGAAAAGTTTGTTACATAAAGGCAAGTTGGGATTTTTCATTTTTTATTCCATTAACAGCATTGGTTAATTCAAACTACTTCCTATAGTTGTTTCTTTTATCAGAAAAAAGTATTTGATATCATTTATATCTCCTGTGAATATAAGGTTTTCCTAAATGTTGGGAAATGTTTCCAGTAATCACTAAATCAGAAGTTACTTTTAGTTGTTATACAGAATGACTATTTGGGGGGTTTAATTTGTCTGTGTATACACCAAATAGGTTGGTTGATTGCTTTTCTGTTTGCTAAATCATTTTTTAATAGTTATTCTCATTTATGTTGTATATGCCATGACATCCTGAATACACCTGCTGGCCTTGAATTCAGAGATTTGGCATGTTCACCACACCCAGCTTATAATTCATTCTTCTAACACAAGCTTAAAATATTACTGATTGTTACCAACTAAAATTGATTCTATCAACTTTTATATTTTCTAGTTATTTTAAATGTCTTTGAAAAGGGATGAGGAAATGGTTCATTGGGTAAGGACATGTGTTGCATAAGCCTGAGGATTTGAATTCAAATCCTCATAGCAGGTGTGAAAAACCAACTGTGCTCAGACCTGCAACACCACTGTTGTGGGGAGTATGAAGGCTGCAGGGAGACTAAGGCAGATGATAGAGGATACTTACTGTCCTCCTCTGGCCTCTGTGAGCCTGTGCATACATGTTTATATGCACACAACATACAAAAGTAGCATATGAAAATTTTTTGTTTTTCAAGACAGGGTTTCTCTGTGTAGCCTTGGCTGTCTTCGACTTGCTTTGTAGACCAGGCTGGCCTTGAACTCACAGAGATCTGACTGCCTCTACCTCCCTAAGTGCTCAGTTAAAGGTATGCACCACGTCACCTGGCTATCTGAAAAATTTTCTGATGAAAACTAATAGGATTTCCTCCTAACATCATATAAACCTCAAAACCACAACAAAATTATAATTTTTATTTTTTTAAAAGATTTTTATTTTAATTATAAGTATGTATGTACCTGTGTTTGGCCAAGTAAAAGTGAGTATTACTGGTACCCAAAGAGAGATCCCTCTGGAACTGGAGTTACAGGTTGTGAGCTATGTAATTTGGGTGCTGGGAGTTGAACTTAGGTCCTATGGAAGACTATTTTTAACTGGAGGTATCTCTGCAGCCCCATACTTTGACTTTTAAATTTCTTGAGGCTGGCTCAGCGGTATACTAGCATGCATTGTCTAGCATGCATTGGGCCCTAGTTTGATTGTTAGCAGCAGAAAAAAAAATCCTATTATGACTTAACAGGTAAAAAAATGTTTGTTACAATGCCTCTCTGAATTACCCTATTTTGAATAAATTACCGTTTGATCCACAAAGAACATGTGCATTTTTTCTTAGTGACACATCTCCATTATCTAGAAAAAGCATAGAGAAAGCTTACCTGCTTTATGTGTGGATTCATGGCCATTTCAGTAACATTCTTCTTGGTCTCACAGAAGATAATAGCCCTCCCTTCAGATCCACTGTAGACCTGGAGGACATCTCCAATAACTGCTGGTCTCTGAGACCAATGGCACTGGATAGCCAAATGCTTCAAGGAAAGAAGAGGCAAAATATCTGTTTCATCAAAAATTATCTTTTAAATGGACTGAGGATGTAAACTCAGCTTGCAGTGTTTGCATAGCATAAATGAAGTCCTGGGTTAGATCCTAGCACGACATAAAGCAGGAATGGTGACATGTACCTGGCCAGTAATCTCAGAGCTAGCCTAGTCTAAGAGTAAAACCTAGTCTCAGACAGACAGAAGGGCTAGGGCTATAAACGAGTGGTAAACCATTTCACCAACATGGACAAGCTCTGGGGCCAACACTAGTAGTAGAAGAGAGAAGATGAAAAGAAATATTATATAAACTTAGCTAGGAAAAAAAATTCAGAAACAAAAAGGTATCATATTGCAGAATTATATTTATACGAAATATTCATAATGGGTATATCCAGAGAAGTAAGATTTGCAGTTGCCAAGGTCTACTAGGGGAAGGACAGAATGGGAAATTATTCACTAAGTTTCAGAGCTGCCTTTTGGGATATGGAAGACAAAATTGTGGTTACGTGTCATAAATACGTAGATTTATGTACGTATATAGATGATACTGACTTATATACAAGACCAGGCCCTGGATTCAATCTCGGAACCAGAAACAATGAGTAAAATAAAATAAAAGCCAGATGGAGAAACATGTAATAGAATAAAGCATGAAGGCAGGTGTAGTGGATCCAGCCTCCCTATCTGCTATCTCAGCATTTAGAAGATGGAAATTGCTGAGCTCACACCAAGGTATACAGCCAGATCCATCTTCAAAAGGAGATAAGGACGGTGCAATTCAAGTGGGAAGCAGAAAGATAAGTTAAGGCAACCTTTACTACATAGCAAGCTCCAAGTCCCTGTCTCAAAAAAGACAAACAAAAAATAATATAAAAATGAAAATAAAACGTTCACTAGTATCTAGATGCTGGATACATATATTTGTAAGTATATTCACTATAAAGTCTTTCAACCTATCTGAAAGTTTACAATTTTCACACCAAAATGTTGGGAAAAGGTTATACTGCGTTTGAAATCTAATATTCTTTGTTGTTATTCAGCTTATCTTTCGTTTAGTTATTTACTGTATGCATGTTTGCACATGACCACAAGCCACAGTGCATCTGTAGAGAACAAAAGAAGGAACTTGTGGAAATCAGTTCTCTCTCTGCCATGCAGGTCCCAGGAATCAAATCCAGGTCATCATCAGGTTGGCTGCAAACACCTTTACCCACTGGATCAGCTCACTAACCCTATTTTATGCTTCCATATAATTTTATTTGTTTGTAAGATTTACTTGTTTTTATTTCATGCATGTGGATGTTTGTCTGTATGTCTGTGTACCATACACATACAGTAGCCAAGGACACTAAGCATCTCTCTCCAGCCCTCTCATATTTTTGTTTTCAACAGGGTCTCACTTCATAGCCCTGGCTTGTCTGGAACTGGCTACTCAGATTTGCCTGCCTATGCCTCCATACACCCTCAATACCAATAATAGAATTAATAGTATACACCAGCCTGCTTACCTACAGATTCTACAATATTTATTTATTTAAAAAATAAATGATATGGCAATTACAGAGTACCTGCAGCAAAGCATATTTTAAAATACCACCTATAACAAAGTCTTATTCTTCCTATACCTCAAAAAAAAAAAAGGAAAAAAAAAATCCAAATCAGATCAAACCCATAATTTAACCAACATGTGAAGTGACATGACAGAGATACACTTAAGACTTAACAGGCTCAGAGAGACATCTTAGTAGTTAAAAGAGCATATTGTTCTACCAGAAGACCTTGGTTTAGTTCCTAGCACCGACACAACCATCTAACTCCAAGTTCAATGAGATCTAATGACACAGATGCAGGTGAAAACTCACCCACATAAAATAAAAGATCACTCTCAGTGTTGCATGCATGCCTGTACTCTCAAGACTTGGGAAGGGATCTCAGAGCATGGTAAGAGATGTGGCTTAGTTAGAAGAATACTTATCTAGTGTGCATGAAGCCCTGGGTTCAATCCCCAGTACCACAGACACCTAGTGTAGTGACACTTGCCTACAGTCCCAACACTTGGGAGACAAAGGCAGTAGGATCAGAAGTTAAAGGTCTTTTTCTGCGAACAAGTGAATCTGAAGCTAGCCTTAGAAACACGAAAATGGAATGATGGCTGGCATTCAACTGCAGGAGTGAAAAATATAAGGACAAAAAACTTTTAAAGCCTAGAAAATAGTATATATTTGTTATGCCATTATTTCTTTGTATATGTTTGAAAATGTCCTTAATAATTGTTTTTCACTAGTACATTCTACATTTTTATTTTAAAACCACTAACACTGGGGCTGGAAAGATGTCTCAGTGTTTAAGAGCACTGTCTGTTCTTCCAAAGAACCTGGGCTCAATTCCCAGCACCTACATAGCAGCCCACTTCCAAGGGATCTGACATCTTCACAGTGATGCACATAAAAAATAAAATTAAAAAAAAAAAATAACACTAACATTACAAAATATACAAAGCTTCCTCTGACCATTTAGCACTTTAATGTATCCTTTTCAAGAAATAATATTGGTATTCATTCTTTTTGTTTATACTTTATAAATACAAATCTAACCCATTTAACATTGTATATGTTTTTAATTTGTTGATAGTTTAAGTCATGTATTTTTATAAATAGCATAATTTATATGTAGCATTCTGTAATTTTTGTCCTTTGTGGTGCTGCAATGGAATCTATCTGACTTGGTTTTGAGGCACTCAAATTCATCCCATTTAACTGCTGCATGCACTCTATGGGTTATTCCACTGTTCTAGCCATTATTTTGCCTACCAAATGGGCAGAGGGATAGATTATATATATATATACACACACAGTATATGCCTTACAGTCACAAATACTGCACATAGTACCGCTAATTCTTTTTTATTATAAACATTCTCAATTTTCTTTTAATGACATATTATTAACCTTTCCCACAGGTTTCTTCTTCTGTTTAGAAAAGCTTCCCTGGCAACTCTCTCAGGCAAGCCCACACTCATCCTCCAATATGTGCTTTCTTCTTGAGCACCTCTTTCCTTCTCTTAGCCCACAAAGTCTTTATTAAAAATGTTTTCCAATAAACCTCAACTTTTTTTAAAAGATTTATTTATTTTATGTATATGAGTGTTCTATCTGCACTTACATCTGCTAGAAGAAGAAATCAGTTCACATTATAGATGGTTGTGAGCCACCATGTGGTCGCTGGGAATTGAACTCATGACCTTTGGAAGAGCAGATGGTGCTCTTAACCACTGAGCCATCTCTCCAGCCCGCAAACCTCAACTTTGCAACAAAAAGAAAGCAAGACTCCCTCTTCAGGAATCAAGTAACTATTCACTTATTAATTTTGCAAGAAAAATTTTCAGCACATGGTATAAAATGAAGATTTGATTTTTCTTTTCAGTCACACTTTGTGTATGTGTGTGCCTGGTGTGCACAATCTTGGGTACTGCTCCTCAGGTAACCACCCACTGATTTTTGAGGGCCAGGGTTTCTTACTGGGCTGGAATGCACCAACTCAGATAGGAGTGCCACCACAGTGGGTCTGTTTCTTCTGTGGATTGTAGGAATGCAACTCAGGTCTTCATGCCGCAAGGCAAGCACTTTATACCCACTGAGCCCTCTCTCCAGCTACATCTACCTTATTATCTTAATACTACTCAAAAGTCTGTTTTACCTACACTTATTTATTGTCTGTGTGTTTGCATACCATGGTTCATGTGTGAAGTCAACAATTTGCATAAAGCAGTTCCCTCTTTTCATTATATAGGTCTTGACTCAGGTCATCAGGCTTGGCCGCAGGTACCTTTACCTACGGAACCATTTCATTGGTCCCAGTAACATACACTCTTTTCTCATTAACAACTGCCTTCTGACACAAAACATCCTTTTTTGGATGTTTTATTGTTTTGAGACAGCTCTTCACATTGTAGTTCAGGCTGACTTATGTATCTCACTATGTAGCCTCTGCCGACTTTGACTTAACGGGATACACCTGGCTCAGTCTCCTCAGTGTGTGTACCATACCTGGCCTCTAGAGCAATAAATGCTTCTGGCATGTTTCCACAGCTCCTTTTATTTAGCCTTGCTTGTTCACAACTCCTATTCTATCTACCCCGCAGTTTCAAACTGTAGAAATACACATGACCTGGTTTTCCGCTGGGAATTTGTAATTGAACTTATGGCCTCACAAATGCTAAGCAAGTGCTCTACCATTAAGCTATGGCCCCCAGTACTACATATGTATTTTACTAAGGGCAAGAAAAGAGGTGAGGCTTGAAGAGATACCTCAAACTTGAGTTTATTTAGCTTCATCAAATTTCAAAAGTAAACACCAATTAAAAAAGCTAAAATCTACATGCTGGCAAAGCTACTTACTTCCACAGTGGTTGCAGCTTTTTGAGTCATTTTTCCAACAAGGTCAACCTGTTCATATCTGGATTTCATGTATTTTTTTGCAACTTTGTATACCCACTGTGGGCAAGTTGCAGAAAAAAGTAAGGTCTGAGGATTGTCTTCTGAATCTTAAACAAACAAAAAGAATTCAAATGTTTTCTTAATATCCCATGATGTAGCCAGCTTTTAAAAATCACCTCAAGCTTCAAAACAAAACAAAAACAAAAAAATGAAAAATTATGAACCTGGGGCAAGTTTTTAACATACAAACGTCAATGCAACTATTAAACTTTCAAATGAAAAAGAAAACTGAACAAAGAAGAAAAGTAAGAGCTTAAGAAAGAAATGGTAAATGAGTTAGTAAATCTACGTGGAATAATTACAGAACGATCAGGAGAAGATTGCGGATGCTTTTGTACTTGCTTTTTTAGGGAAAGGATACCAAGTAACTTTAATTTTGTTAGAATACCAGGAGACAAGGTAATAAAAACTATGACATGAGTTCACAAGCTTTTATCAAAGAACAGCGGCTCATATACTTATTTCAACTAGGACATACCAGTTTTGTAGGATTCATGAATAATATCTTCAACTTGTTCAGCAAAACCTAAATCTAACATTTGATCTACTTCATCAAGCACAACATGGCGCAGCTTCGAAAGATCCAACCGGCCACTTTGCAGATGGTCTTTGATCCGCCCTGGAGTTCCAACAAGGATGTCAATACCATTCCGAATTTGATTGACTGTGAGGAAAGAAAAAGCAGGAATATGTTAAGATCAAATGTCTGCTTTTCCGCAGATGTAAAATTAATCAATATAACTCTCAACTCTTGTATTTACTCACTCTGGCTTTGATATGATGTTCCACCATAAAAACATGCCACACTGAGTTTTCTAGTTATATCTTTGAAATCTTTGGCTACTTGATTTGCCAGTTCCCTTGTTGGTGCCAAAACGAGTACCTGAGCAAGAAATTTAAAAAACAAAGATACATCTTTTTTAAAGACTGATGGAATTTCAACTAGAAAGGATATTTCTATAAAGATGCACTTAGAGTAAGAATCTCAACATTAGCTTCATAAGCACTTAAAGACAGAGCTGGGTGTATTATTAGTGGCCAAACAACCATCTGTCATGCATAAACTGGGTTTCATGCCCAGCCCTAGGGTGTGGGGGCAGAGAACACAAGTATCAACAATAAGAGCAGCTTATATTTACTACAGCACATTTTATCAGACTTCAAAAGTCCCTTTCCTGAGTTGGAAACAGTTTAGTTGGCAAAGTATTTGTTTAGCATGCACAAAGCCTAGTGTCCAATCCTTAGCCTTACATAAAAGAGTGATAATGTATCCTTACAATCCTAGCATTTGAGAGGTGGAGGCAAAAGGATTGTCCTCAACTATATAGTGACCTCAAAGCCAGCTTAGGCTACATGAGACCCTATCTCAAAAAACAAACAAAAGTAAATGTAAGAGTACTTTTTTTTTCTTGCCCACATATATATATATTATATATTCTATTTATTTATTTATTTATTTATTTATTTATTTATTTATTTATTTATTTATTTATTTATTTATTTTTTACTTATTACAATTTATTTACTTTGTATCCCAGCTGTGGACCCCCCTCCCTCCCTCTTCTCCTCCCTGTCCCTCTCCCAGTCCACTAATAGGGGAGATCCTCCTCTCCTTTCATCTGACCCTAGCCTATCAAGTCTCATCAGGACTGGCTGAACTGTCTTCCTCTGTGGCCTGTTAAGGCTGGGCCCCCTTAGGAGGAGGTGATCAAAGAGCCAGCCAGGAGTACTTTCTTAATGAGGTTCCCAAGCTGCTTTTTATGATTTCTTGTCCCTCTCTATTCCTCCCCTTCACACGTATATTACTTCCCTAAAATACAGATCTGTATCTATAGACAGAGAGACAGATATTGAACATTATTGCTGACTGTCCAGCTCATCCACTCAAATGAAAGGTCAATGAATGTAAAAGTTTCTGTCAGGTGAATCACTGTACTCTCTGCACTTTAAGAGGCAACTGCTACAGAACAAGCACTCCAAACATACTTGTCAAAGTAAAGGCAGTTCTCACACTAGGTGCTCGTGCTTTCTATGAACTGGTAAATTTCATCAGTGAATTAGTGAGCTTTGTCATGAAAGACAGAGGTGGCATTAATTGGACTATTCTACAGACATGGAACTTGAGTCACAGTGAAGCTGTAAGTCTTGCCCAAGGTCCAATAGCTAGAAGCAATGGAGCTGTGATCTCAGGAACAGCCTTCTAACAGACTAACATAGGATATAACCGTTTCCTTTCTGCATTACTTGCAATTTTGTAAAAATTACTGCATAACCTGCAAATTTCAACAAAGAAAGACAATTTATCCTGTAAAATAATACAGCCAACATGAAATGAGATCTTAAGCCATTCTGATGTTATTCTATTCATATGCATGTGAGTTTGCTTTTATAGTGTAACATTAGGAGTATTTAAAGGCACAAACATACCTGTTCAAAACATTATGATGACTTTTCTTCTTCATTGTTACAAACCTTAAAGTGCACACAGGTTCTAAAAATGTCAAATTTTAGACTAGAATTTTACTAGTTCCCACTGCTATTTGATTATTGCTACTTATAAAGTAAGATATATCTCTAGTACCCAATTAACAGCAATATCACTGCTGTAATAACATCATAAAGCCAGACAATTAAATAATACTCAACATTTACTGAATCACCAACTGAGTATCTCATTAGGAAATTCATTACTTAAAAGCAAAGGTCAGGAATGAAGAGAAAGCTCACTAAAAGTAGTAGATATAAATCCTTCTATAAGGCAAATTGACTTCATAATACAAAGTTATGGAAGGTATCTATATATGCAGAGATATTTCATTTGTGTTCATTAACTAATCTATTTTAACTTTTCGCAAATTTTTTCCTATGTGAAAAATACCAAATTTTACTCTAGGAATCAAATTTTAACTTTGTGAAAAAGGGGTAATGATTCTATAAGGGAAGGGGTATACCTGACCTTGAGACTAGTAAAATTCTTTCAGGGTTTGGGGTACAGCTCAGTGAGAGAGCATGAGCTTAGCATGCACAAGGCCCTGGATTTGATTCCAGCACCAAGAAAAAAACAAAAACAAAAACAAAAGATTATTTTTTTCCTCTGTCCCTTTTCATTAATGTTAAGCGCTTTTACTCCCTTAATAACCGTTACCTTTGGTGAGCGGCTTTTTTTAATTGTTTCTTGATTTCTTTGGAGCCTTTCAATCAAGGGTATGGCAAAAGAGAATGTCTTTCCTGTTCCTGTCCGGGCTTGAGCAATTAAATCTTTTCCTTCATATACAGGACCAAAGGTTTTAACTTGAATAGGAAAGAGATATGTTACCCCTCGACCTGTAAAATGAGATTTCATTAAAATTTGTGACTAGCATTAGGAAAAAGTAAATTCATTTGAAAATGACAATCCTTATTCTTCCATGACTGCCTACAGACATATTACCTAGTAATGTTTACAGTTATTCCTACCCCAAACAGAAATTAGAATGAAATTGGTCTGATTTGACAAACACATGTAACTCTTACAGTTAAACCAAGTCAGAATAAAGAAAAGAATGATGTAGAAATAACTGCAATTAAAAAGAGGGGGCTATTTATCTTTCATATTCTTCTTTTTGTCAGAAAGGCACCAGAGTTGTATAAAATCAGCAGCAGATTTACAACATGAAAAGCACAGTACCTTTCAGAAGCTTTATGGTCTCCTCAGAAATAGAGAAATTAGAGAAGGCTCCTTCCTTCTGTTCACGTGTTAGAGTCTGTAAAAATAAAACCAAAATTCTAAATAATATAGTTTATATTAACTGTTACTCATTTTGAGAGGCAAAGAGAGGCTTCTCAGACAGTGTCTCCTGCAGTCTGGGTTAGTCTCAAACACGCTATGCAGCAAAGGATGGTCCTTAATTCTGACTCCAACTCTAGAGTACTGTGATTACAGTTGTACCTGGCTAACCATTTCTATAAATGGCAAGTTTATTTATTTTTTTACATACAAACATAAATATATACATAATCTTACTATATATGCCTGGCTGTTCTGGAGTTTGACAGGGTAGCCTCAAGAGAGCACCTGTCTCTGTTTCCCAAGTATTAGAATTAAAGACATATACCACCATGTTCCATACCATAAAGTATATTCAAAAATAGATTTTCATCCTTTAGTGTCTTTTTTAAAAAACTATGTTTATTCTTAATTCATGTGCTTGTGTGTATACCAAATGTGTGCTGGTACCCAAGGAAGTCAGAAAAGGCATCCAGTCCTCTAGACTTATAGAACCTGATTAACAGGCAGTTGTGAGCTGCCCAATGAGGCTGCTGAAAATTAAACCTGGGTCCTCTTCCTAGAGGACTCATGCACTCCTAACTACAGAGCCATCTTTCTAGGTCCTGCATGCACCCCACATGCCCTTTTCTCCTCCTTAAGACAGGGTTTCTCTGTGTAGCCCTGGCTGTCCTCGAACTCACTCTGTAGACCAGGCTGGCCTCGAACTCATAGACTTGCCTGTCTTTGCCTCCTGAGTGCTGGGATTAAAGGCATATACCACCTTCTCCAGCTAAACCTCCCCCCCTTTTTAATGGAATATGCTATATGTCTCTACAACCATATTCAGGTGATTACAGAACCATGAAAAACTACTCCACTATTGATGCATATAACACTATTACTGGTCTTTTTATATAAATGTGTGTGTGTGTATATATATATATATATATACACGCACACACATATAATTTGAAAAAAAAATTTTTTTTTTTGAGTCAGGGTCTCTCTACATAGCCCTAGCTGTCCTGGAACTCACTTTGAGGACTAGGCTGCCTTCAAACTCACAGAGATCCATCTGCCTCTGCCTCCTTAGTGCTGAGATTAAAAGTGTGCCCCCATACCTAGCTATAATTTGAATTTTTGGAAGCTTAAGCTATTCCTTATTTGTACAAGTGTAGTAGACTAAGTTAAATTTAAATATATAAGTTCCTAAAATTAAGTTGTTCTCAAGCCTCAATTTGAAAAAGGCAAACAAACAGAGATAACATCTACATGAGTGTGACTGCATAAACTAATAAAGTCTGCTCTAAGTAGTGAGACAAAGCAAGTGGGGTCCACGGCCCTCCTCTGGACTCACCAGGCACAGGCACAAAAATGTACAGACACATACATACATGCAGGCAAGCACACATGTGGCAGGTCACAACCACCTGTAATTCCAGTTCCAGGGGATATGATACCCTCTTCTGGAGTCAGTAGGCATCAGAAATGCACACAGTACACTTAAACATACATGCAAACAAAACAAACTATTCTAAGAGATGCAGCAGATATAAATCCAGCACAGCTGGGCATGGTGGTGTACACCTTTAATCCCAGCACTTAGGAAGCAATAGCAGGTGAATTTCTCTCAATTCCAAACCAGCCAGCAAGCGCTACTGAGTAAAACCCTGTCTCCAGGGGAGGAGAGGAGGGACTCTCTATAGTGGTATGCACCTGTAATCTCAGCCCGTGGAAGGCAGAGCCAAGAAAATAAAAGACTCCAAAGTCGCCGTCAGCCACCTGGGAGGTCTGAGACCAGCCTGAGCTACTTAAATGAGACCCCATCTCAGACAAATAAACAAACACCTACAGTAGGTCTTGAGTAGACTCTACACTAAACCTGTCTATACTTCCCAAATTTTAAGATCCAGAGAAACTGCTTAAGAAAGGAAAAATAAAGGAGGTAGGGTAGAGGCAAGTTGGTTCAGTAGTTAAAGGCACCTGCTGCCAAGCTTAACAACCGGAGTTTGATCCCTGGGACCCTCATGGCAGAAGGATAAGTGATTCCTACAAGTTATATTTTGACCTCCACACAGAAAGTAAATGTTACCCAAAAAAAGAAAGAAACAAGGGCCAAAGAAAAAAAGGCGGCTCAGGTTTCAGCGCTACTGGTTCTATGGTTCAAATAAGAACATTAGACACTAAACAGGACACAGTATATAATCAATTCTAATGAATCTAAAAGATCATGCTGGCCTACATTTCAGAGACATAATAATGTATACCTCCTCTACTGTATCACTTGATTTATGAGAATTTTCTAGGGATGACACTCGCTTTGACCTTCTTTCATACTCATCAACATCCCCGTTTGGCAGGTCTTTTCTTCTTGACTTATGAGATGGAGAGAATTCATCTGAAAATCTACTAAGTTCTTCTTCGGTGTCTCCGTTTAGCTTCTCTCTCATTTTAGCTTTTTTGGGCTTGGGAGCATCCAGGTCATCTGTAGCACCATTTTCTCTTGTTTCTGTTTTCTCATCGGATTCAGAATGGTGCCTTGACTTCCTTCTATCACTCTGCAGACAAGGAAAGTAACAGTGACAAGCTCTCCTTTTAGGACTTTAAAGAAGCTCAACTATGATTCCCCAACCAGCTAAACTCAACCTACAAGTACACTCAACACTCTACCTGCAAGAAATCCAGACTGGTTAGTAATGCCGGAGTCTGCATCTTACCTGCTTCTACTTGTCGTGCCATCTCTTGCCTTTTCAAGACTTAGCCTCTATAACATATCTAATCCCATCCTAAAGTTTTTAGGAAAGTTAAATAGTTCCTTCTCAGGAAAAAACAAACAAACAAAAAACAAAAACGAAGCCTCAAAATTATTTAATTAAAATACAAATAAAAACTTCTACATCTCCAAAAGGGGAAAAAAATGTATTGAGTACCTACCCATCATTGTGTAATGCTTTCGGCTTATCTTGTTTAATCTTCATAACCCTATCAGGGAAGTACAGGTCCATAATCCCTTATCCGAAATTCCGAAATCCATAAAGCTCTGAAAACCGAAAGTGTTTTTGTAACTTATATGGAGACAAAACCTTATCTGATCTGAACTCACTTGACTGCAAATTTAACTACAATGAATGTGAAGCTACTTATTGTCTTTATCCCATTTAGTATGACTACCCATATGAAATACTAAGGCCGCAGGTCCCCAACCCTTCTAAGGATTTCCAGCTTATGAGAATTTTAAAGCACATCTAGCTCCAATGATTTTGGATAAGGGATGGTGAACCTGTATTATCTTTGCCACTTTAAAATGAAGAAACAGGATTTCAAAGGTCAAGTACGTGCAAAGGTTCTAGAGGCTACCCTGCAGGTGGAAGTGGAAGGAATGGAATGTAGCCCTGCCTGACCTGAGAGTCTATGTTCTTTCCACGGACGGCATGCTTTCTCCCTGAATTAGTTGTTCTGTTCAGATATAGGGTCTTATGCAGTTCAGGAGCCTTTGACACCTGACCTTCCTGCCCCACCTCCAAGTGCATGGATTACAGGCATGTACTAGTAGACATAGCTCTCCTTCAACTATGACAACTGATAGATTAAAGGAAAATAAAACTATGTAATTTATGCAAAACCATTTATTACACTTCCATAAAGGACTATAACACTGACAATTAAGACTGCTTATGTTAACAGAACAAAAAAAGCCAAACACCAAGGCACCTTTCTATAACTTCAATTTTAAAATGCAAAAGTAAGACCAGAGAGATGGCCCAGTGGGTAAGAGCACTGTCGACTCTTCCAAAGTACTCAGGTTCAATTCCCAGCACCTGTATGGCAGCTCCAAGGGATCTGACAGCCTCTTGTGACCTTAGAAAACAGGCATGCACATGGTACAGACATAAAAACGGGCAAAATACTCATACACACACACACACACAAAATTTTTTTTAGGTTTTTTAAAAATACCAAACTGTAGGCAAGTTCTTTTTTTAACACTTACAGACCACAAAAATTTATATGGAAATTTAGTCCTTCAGAATCACTTGGTCAGATATATAAATCACTTGCTTCGATGCTACCTAATAACTTAGCAATAATTGATTATACTAAAAACTACAAGCACCGAATTTTCACCATGCTGATACAATTTTTTGAAGTGTTTTAGCATTAAATTTTCTCATTCATAAAATAGTTGGAAAAAACTGAGTAATATGTGAAAATGCCTTAAAAAATCTCTATCATTGGATATTTAATTAACTGTACTAGTCAACAGCTTCCTAAACCATGTAAGTCCTATAGAAAAACAGATTATTTATAGAGCAAGCATGGGGTTTAGGAAGTTGAACTTTAGGAAGATGGAGCAAGTCAATGTAACACCTCTAAGTCCAAACCCAGCAACAACCTGAAGTGCTGAAAACTAACATCACTCTCTGCTGGCGCCCAGGGCCTGACTGTCTCCTGTCTCCACAGCTGTGTGAGGTTAACTCTTAGCTCTCAACCTTTAGTGCTTCCTCTCCTCACCCTTACTTGGAAGCTCTAATCTTTGCCCTCAGCACACACTTCCGGACTCTTTTCCTTCATTCATTTTCTAAGAACTTGAATTCCCTAGTTCAAAATATCCAAACTAGAATTATCTTCAGCTCAATGTTCTATTTCTGCTGGTTGGTATTCCAGTCCAATTCCACATCTCTAGGTCTCTTTCATAAAGGGCGATCAACAAGCATAACATACTGAAATATAAGGATACACAAAGATCAGTCACTTTCCTCATAAATCTTTGGAAACTATTCAGAATATATAAGAAAAGTTAACTTTACAAGGAAGCACATAAAAGTGCCAATCACAAAGATAACACTGGGACAAGACCTTGAAGGGGAGTGAGATTACTGTACACTGGTGTGGTTGGAAAAAAAATCTAGATCTTATCAGATGCAAGATTCAGATGTGAAAGGAAAACTATGTTTTTCAAGAGGAACTAAAATTAAAAGAATTGACTGAAGATTACACTTATAATCTACCATAGGAGCCTACAATAGTAAAATTCAAAGGCTTGGGAGTTGCTATTTAAGGGGCAAAGAGTTTCAGCTTGGGAAGATGAACAGGTTCTAGAGACGGATGGTGGTAGTGACAGCAGAAGAATTCTATTATAATGACATCAAGTTCACTTAAAAATGGTAAAAAACGGAGCTGGACAGATGGCTCATAAGAACACTGGCTGCTCTTCCAAAGGTCCTGAGTTCAATTCCCAGCAACCACATCGTGGCTCATAACCATCTATAATGAGATCTGGTGCCCTCTTCTGTACATGCACACAGAACATTGTATACACAATAATCTTTTTTAGAAAATGGTAAAATTGTGGGCTGTGGTTGTTAAAACTGCATCGCTGAAAAAAGAAGTGTCAAAATGTAAATTCCAAATTTAGTGTATTCTACAAAACAGAAAAATGAGAGTTGGGAATATAGCTCAATGCCGGGCATTTGTCAGGCATGCCAGTGGCCTCAGCTCAATGCCCATTAGGAAGGTGGCATGGAAAACTGAAGGGAAGAGGGATGGCTGGTTGGCTATAATTTAAAGTTTACCTTGGTGATATAAATCCCTGATCTCTAGCACTCTACAAAATAAATATCAAATGTCATCTTTCCAAAAGTCTTTTCATCCTGCTCAGCTTTTTTTCTCCAGGTCAAATGTCTCCAGTAAAAATTTTACCTGTGCATTTTCTTAGAACCTTAAGATCCTCTACTTTTCGAGGTTTGGGGGGGGGGTGTTTGTTCCTTTTTTTTATTTTTCAGACAGACGTGTGGGTAGAGCCTATAAAATTTCCTCTAGAGGCTCCCGGTGGGCAGAACCATTTTGCATACTTAATTAGTTTAAGCTCCTTAGTACTCAGCAAAATGTGGCACAAATTAGCCTCAATGAATACCTGTGGATTGAAAATACTGACAGTAAGGGCTACTCCAACCCCAAGAACTCCACCATTGCCAAACCCTGGTCACCCTGGCTGTGACGTTATTCCTTAAGCTTCTATTACCCAATCATGGATGGTTGTAACCCTAGGATAGCCTTCCCTGAGACTGCTGCAGACACGACGCCGCGACAGAGAAGCAACACATAGGCAAAGCCATCATCTTTCTTAATTATGTTCTTCGAAGGCCCTGGAAAACCAAATGAAGGGCCTCGCCGCCACAGAAAGGGTAAACGAGCAGATTCCACGGCGATGGGAGCTCAAGTGTGCCCATCTCTTGGGAGAGATCCAGGCGCAAAGGCCGACGTCGGGCTGAGGTGCCACGAAGCCGGGCCGAAGCCTAGGTCCGTTCTCCTCCAGGTCTGGGCGTGCGGCGATGGGGATGGTCCCCGGGACCTCAGAGGATCGAGCACGGCGAGGGGAAGCCTTCCCTCGGACGCTCGCGCCGGATCCTGACAGGTCGTCCCCTTCAGAGACCGCTCCCCTCCCCGCCCAGGCCAGCGCAGCCCGAGGGAGGCGCGGCCCAGCCGCAGCGCACCTTTTGCCTCTCCTTCCTCTGGCTCTCGGACTCTTCCAAGGGTGCCTCGAGCTCCATGATGTCTCCCCAGAGGAGTTTCCCGGGCATTACTGGCCGCCGCCACCTCCCGCCGGGTGCGGTGGCCACGACCACCTACGGGCACCGACAGCGTGAAAGGAAGCGGGGGCAGGGCGGCCGCGGGCCAAGGCCATGCGTCACTTCCTGGCCACGCACCGCACGGCGGGAGCAAAGCCTCCCGACTTCTCCCCGAGGAAACTCTTCCGAAGAGCCTCGGCCCTCCCTCAGCCAATGAAAACGCGAGACGCTCCTACGGGCCCGCCCACGCTCTGAAGTGACAGGCTTCTCTAGAGCACGGGCCAATGGCCAGGAAGGACGCGCGCGCCCCGGCGCAGCACGCATTCCAAGCGTCCCCCTCCCCCCCTCGGAACGCCTTCCTTCCCGGCATGCCCTGGCAGCGCCCGAGCAACCCCCTCACGGGCGGTGGGGAAGAGGGGCTGACGCGCGGCGCTGCAGCTCCTGGGCGAGCACGAACCGAGGCCCGCGGGAGCGCCACGCGCCGTGCAGCCATTCGCCGCCGGAAACTGCGGCTCTCCGCCCCGCCCCCCGCAGTGGGTGGAGCGTTAGCGAGTAACGGCTTCCCGCTAGGCGGGTGGACGGGGCAGTAACGCCGAGAATCGCTGGGGTCTGCAGGGTCGGGTGGGTGTGAGGCGGAGGGCGAGCTGCACGGACGTCAGCCCCGTAAGCAGGCGTTACGTTCTGGCTTCATTTTACTTCTCACGCTCCCCAGAAGAAAACCCACCGAGAAAGGAAGTCATTTGTCCAAAGCCCGTAGCGCTGGCTGTACCAGAAAACTGATGAGAATCCAAGATGGACGCACCAGTCTCAGAACTAGTTTCCCAAAGTTGGAAGGGGATTGCTCCTATGAAACAGAAAGAATAGGAAAAACAAAGGACCCCAAGATAAGGAAAGCAAGCCCAATGTGTCTGACATTACCTATTTGTAATAATCTTACTGATCAGGATTAACCGCCTTTGAGTTAAACAAAAGATACCAGTGCCATCGAATTGACTTCTTGATCTTTTTGTGTATTCACAAAGAGTGGGTGCGATCCCCAGAACCTCATGGGCCAGGCGATCCTGCCTGAACAACCCCAGATTTCTGTTTATCATTTAATGATCTCTTCATTCAGTCATCAGCTATTTCATTCCTGAGGGAAGACAAGACAGCAAACTTGAGATGTGGGAGCAGCAGCATTTTTGGAAACTGCACCACAGTGTCTAGTGTTGCCTTGTAATCTGAGCCTCAGTATAGGCCTTAGCAAAATTACATATGGCTACATGTCCTGAATTTGGGGATTAGACTTAAATAACCGGCATCACAATATTAAGTTTGTGATAGCTTCCGGACTTCTGTGTAATCAAATACAGGCTTAACGTCAATGACTGTGTGAATGTGGTTTTATGGATTCAGTTCTATGAATCTAGATGTGTTCAAGGAATGATGCTAGAAAATATTTTTCCCCAGGTTGGATGAATAGTTGAGGGTCTACATCTAAATCTTTACAAATCTATATCTAAATAGCGTCTCTAAATCCTGTTTCTTCACATCTACACCAGTTCTTCAGTGATCATCATTGTGCCCCTACAACAGAATATGATATGCACAGAAACATACTTAACAGGGTGAAGAATGCCACACACAAAATGCTGCTATCTTGTGTTTGAAGGTCACACAGAGGAAGTAAAATTTCAGCTCTTGGGGTCCTATTTTTGGTATCTGTTCTTATGTCAAAACTTTTCATGGCAAACCTGCAAAAAGGAGGGACTAGACGATGCTATGCTCCCTCATCAAGTGACTGCTTCCATTCTGTGACAACAAATGTTGCCTTTCTAAGTCCTAATGGCCTGATCTCTGTCTAGCCAGGTGGGAAAGGAGAGTTGAGACCCACATAGACAGGAGTAACTTGCCCAGAGAACTCAGTAGCCATCAGCTCAGCTTAATCAGAAAACATGAGAATGGGAAGTATAATGGAAAGCTCAGGTCTGATCATGAGATTTGGAACCAAGAGGCATTAAAACAGTATCTTGCTCCTTCCTGTAACTGACAAAATCCCTGAGAAGAGACTTAAAGGACGGGTTTTACTGTGGCTCACTGTTGGAGTCCACCATCCCTCAAGGCAGGGAACCCACGGCAACAGACATGAGGCAGCTGGTCACATCCCATGCCCTGGAAGCAGAGAAATGAGTGACAGTACTCCTTTCTCTTTAGACTGGCAGTTAGGTGGCGCTTCCCACCTCAGTTAACCAAATAGAGAAGCTCCCTCACAGCCGTGCCCAGAGGCTCTTCTCTCAGGTGATTCTAGTTCCTGTCAAGTTCACCATCATTATAAACCATCACAGACATGGATTTAAAATATCATTGTCAATTCATGGGGTCCAGCAATCATCCTGCTCCTGTTCTCCTAGCGCCTGCAGTTACAGGCATGGACCATGCTGCCTAATTCCAAATCTAACTTTATCAGAGCACCTTTATTTTCCAAATATTTTTATTTAGTTTGTTTTAGATAGAGCTTTACCATGTAGTCCTGGAAAACCAGGAAATTTTTCATTGTAGAACCAAACTGGCTTCCAATTCACAAGAGATATGCTTTTGCTTACCAGCGCTAGGATTAAAGAAAGGCATGTGCCCCAATGCCCAGCTTTAGTTTTGCTTTTTCCCATTTTGTGTGCAGTTGTTCTATTTCCACAATGTGTGTCCTGGGCATCAAATTCAGATTGTCAGGCTTAGGGGCAGAAGCCTTTACCAGTGGAGCCATCATGCTGGCCCTGTTTTCCAAATATCTTGAGTTGTTGATACACCCTGAAAAGTCAGATGTTGTGTTGTTTTCATGCTATTTGTTGTCAAAGGTTCTATAAGAAAGAAAAATTTCCTTGCCTTTGCCCTTAGCTTATTAAATTTTCTGACTTTGAAGGTAGAAAAGCAGGGTACTATTCTAAACTTGCCTCTCTGGTTATTTCCAAAATTAAGGGTTTTGTTTTTTGTTTTTTTTTTTTTTTTTTACCCCATAGAGAGTATCAAAATACATCAAGCACTTTGAAAGGTGAATGACAGAAGGAAATAAGACATTTCAGATTATGAGATGGTAATTAAGGGGCAGTTATAAATTGATAGAGACCGTGAGGACAGAGTGAGTGTTGAGAGTGCCAACGTGAAACAGTAGAGAATGAGAAGCTAGAGGCCACATGACCTTTAACCCATTTACCTTAAAAACTTAACAAAGCAAGGACGATAATGCAGGAAACTGGATGAGCAAGTACAACACATCTACAGAAATGAGGTCCAGGGGTGCGCTCACCTACCTGAGATGATTGATGCTGTTATTTTGGCTTTTTGGGATAGGGTCTGAACTTAGACTGACCTTGAACTCACTATGTAGCTGAAGTTCGCCTTAAAAACACTATTTGCCTGCCTCTGCCTTCTCTGCTGGAATGAAACATGCGTGCCACCATGCATGGCTCCACCGTTTCGTTAGTAGTTTTAAAAGTTATTAAAAAGAAAAGAAAAATGTATTTTTGTGTGTACATGTGTATGGGTATGTGCACGTGGGTACCTGTGGAGAGGAGAAGAGACCATCAGACCCCCAGAAACTACAGTCCTCTGCGAGAGCAGCCAGGTTCCCCCAGGGCTGCTTTGCCTGTGCTTTGAAATGGACTGTAGGAATGAGGCTCAACCGGAGTTACCCCAGAAGAGGGCGCCATCACTCAGTGCTGGGTAGACACTGCTAAGAGGAGAGAGAGGCCGAAGTCTGTCCATGGTGCCCAAATTTCTTGTGTAGCTCACCTCTGGTAGGCAGCAACCCCTTTCCTGTTTCCTGACTTAGCTGTAGCCTCAGAAACGTCCTCAAAAAAGCAGCGGCAAGCTCTTCCCATTGTTTTCCAAGATAGAGCTGACATTTTCAATATCATGTTTGCTAAATTACATGCAGCAATAGCTTAATGATCTAAGAACATACACATGGGGGCTGGAATGATCGCTCAGATGTTAAGAGCACTGACTGGTTCTTCCAGTGGTCCTGAGTTCAATTCCCAGCAACCACAAGGTGGCTCACAACCATCTATAATGAGATCTGGTGCCCTCTTCTGGTGTGCAGGCACATATACAGGCAGAGTACTGAATAAATAATAAAAAATAACGTACACATATCGTTAAACAGCACACCAGCATGGAAATCTATTACTGAGCTGGTGTGATTTCAATCACTATCAATTATCTTGATTTAAAAATAAAAAGGGGGGGTGCTGAAGAGATGGCTTAGCTGTTAAAAGTACTTGCTTTTGCAGAAGCCCAGGGATCAATTTCCAGCACTCATGTGTGGACTCACAACTATCTCTACTCTAGTTCTAGAGGATCTGATGCCCTCTCCTGACCTTTGAAGATACCAAGCGTGAACATGGTACACAAATAAGTGTGGCAAAACACCGATAAAAGAAACCTTTAAAAAACTTGCCAAATGTGTGTGTATGTACACACGGGCTGGAGGTCTGTGTGCACCTGACACAGTGGGCACATGGAGATGAGAAGACAAGACTGGGGTACCCAGGGACCCATCAAAAGCCTTAAAAATGTTGAGCAGGGCCCACGTTTATAATCACCAACAAAGACAATACCTGTGGGTAACAAAACTCCACTGAATTCTTAAGTATTCCCTTTTTTGTGGCTAGCATGTGTAGAGGTCAGAGGACAACTTTCAAGAGCCAGTGCTTTGCTTGCACCACAAGTCCTGGGGATTGAACTCGGGTAGTCAAACTGAGAGGCTTTAACCCACAGAGCTTTCACCGGACCCTCGTTGATTATTTAAAAATATTTTCTACTATGAAAGTAAAAGAGAATAAAATAAAACAAGTGAGACATTTGGCATTGTATTTCCGTGTGTGTGTGTGTGTGTGTGTGTGTGTGTGTGTGTGTGTATGTCTGTGGTCAGAGGACAATAGTTGGGAGTGGGTTTTCTCCTTCCACTACGTGGATCCCGGGATAGAACTCAGGTCATCAAGCTTGACAGCAAATGTCTTTAGCCAATGAGCCATTTCATGGCCCATTATTTTTGATACCGTATATCACTTAATGTCAAAAATCATAAAACCTTTTCGTATCTGGCCTCAACTCAGCCATCTTACCTCCCAAAAGCAAATGTCCATGAAGTCAAAGTCAAACACTTAAAAAAACAGAACAAAACAAAACTGGGATTGGGGGTGATTTAATCCTTTGTTCCTTATGAAATTTAGTCTTGGTGACAGACTCAATGCATTTAACGGTTTTTGAATAAATTTCCTTGATGCACTATACAATGATAGCTCATTGAGTTTGGGATGGTAAATGTATATATTTTCAAGTCTCTGTCACCTCCATCATGGCACTATCCAGATATGTTGGCAATGGAAAAATTGTTTTAAAATTACTTGTTACAAATCTACTTACTGTGTCTTAATGACATTAAAGAAGCTATTTCAACAGTGACATTTGCCATCAGCACCACTAAGAAAAATGGAAAGTTGAGGTATAATTGCAGCACCAGTGCCAAAGCCCACAGCCAAAGCTTCAGAGAAACCTTGACAGATCTATGGTCTTCCTCTTTCCTTCCTACTGAGACAGAACCTCACACAATCCAGGCTGGCCTCAAACTTGGCAGAGCAAAGGATGACCTTGAACCTCTAGACCTCCTGTCTCCACACCCACTTCATCCATTCTGGGGCTTAAACCCAGGACCTCATGCATGTTAGGTAAGCATGCCAGCATTTGAGCTACACCCTTACCTCCCTCAAATTTCTTTCCAGTTTTCAATTTCTTCAGTTCACTTGGCTGTAGTCCAGTAAGACAAACTGGCTTTAGACATTATCACCCCCTGCCTCAGGTCACATACCTGCTACACTCTCCATCATGGATTAACAAACTTACTATCAGTAAATAATTTGGTTCCTATTAAGTACACTATTATATATAACCATCTTTTACAACAGATCTGAGCTTAACTTTAAAAAAAATGTTTTCTGAGGAAATAGCCTTTTTTCCATTTATTTCCACCATGTTTTCTCTTCAACACAATCCTTGATATGCACCCAATTTGGCAGCACATTCTTTCCTATAATGCCTTTTGAAACTAGAATCTTTAATAACATTGCAAGTTCTCTACAGATCAAACAGAATGCCTTACTACCACAGACAAAAAACAGTAGACAGCTGTCCATTTTTCACTTGGGGGAGTTGTTTTTTTTTCTTTTAAGAATGGATGTGAGATTATTAGTAAACATGGCAGAAGAAAACTGATGGGGTAGTGGGTTCCACACAGAGGAGGCCCTCACAAGCACCAGGCCTGCCACTTGTCCAGGGGACCACAGCTGGGATGTATTTAATACCGCAGCCAATGGGGATGTGTTGCTTCTCGGCCACCGTGTCTTCACGTTCATCTGAATTTAACTTAGTGAGGCCTTCTTTGAGATGTGGTGGCTGCGGGTACTGAAGCTGCAGGGCCCAGTCACGTGTTCCATGTTCTGCAGCTCTGAATGAACATGATGACCTATACAACTCCAGCCGTTGTGCTCTATGGCTTCCCAAAGGCACATGACCCACCACATATCTGCCTGGCCTTAGTCTGGGGACAACGTAAAACGAAAAGCATGAACATTCACCAGAAAACTGTCTCAAATGTCCCTTAAAGCAAAACATACAAGCAACAGGTTACGTAAATTTCCATGATGGCTGCTGTTTGTAGTCACTGCACATTAGTCACTGTCCTCTTTAGAGAACCCGAAATTCAAGGAGGAACCCCAAGTCTACTGACACAGGAGTTTTAGGCATCCCCAGTCAATCCCACTTGGGGCCATTTGTTTACACACCGGCAGGTTGAAAAGAAAAGGAATCCTGGGCACCAGTGGGCCAGGGGAGGGTTCTTCTGGAAAACAAGCAACACAGGACATTGGTTCTCCCTGTGCAGCCCTAATAGCACATGCTTGTTTTCTAGGTTCTGTGTGCAGTCCTTAACCGGGGAATCCCATATTCCTGTGGTTAATGAGAACGGCTACTGGGTAGTAGGTCAGCAGTATGCTCTGGAAAAACTGGTCAAGGAAAATTAAAGTTAGTGACACTTAATTAGAAACGGACCAATGATTTAATGTTTATTTTATTGAAAACTACAACCAATTTCTGGTAAAAGGCACTAAAAACTGGCTTAAAATGGTAAAAGGGGAAAAAGGCATCAGAATGCAGTATGGTGAGGTTAATAATAGCATATGCGCTCAGTTCCCGAAGTCAGCTAAAATTTAATCCTCACATGGTGGCTTGGGCCAGTAATCCCAGCACTCTGGAGGCAAAGGCAGAGGACTGCTTTTGAGATCTGGGCCAGCCTGAACCACAGTGCAAGACCACTCCTCAAAAAAATTTTTTTGCTCTTTTTTTTAAAAAATTAGACATTTATAACTGGGGTTACTTGGAGCAAGGAATTGGATGTGAGTGTTTGGCTCTTCATGTTTTCATGGTTCTGCAGAAAATTCTGTCTTCTTTTAAATCCATCCAAAATGGCTGAATTACTAGACACCAGGCTCTGCGTCCTAAAAATGTTTAAAAGGACAGGATTACTGTCTTCAAAAGGGCTTGGACTGCCACTCAAGGAACTGTAGTTTCATTTGTTAGTTTGAAGCCATACTAGTACTAAGACATACTTAGCAAATCTAAGGTGACTCACCTTCCAAAAATCTGGCCCCTTTTTGTGTGAAAAGCTAGCTACACAGTAGTACTGCAGTTGCTTGACAGGTGCTTTCGAAGGAGCTTGTGCTTTCTGAATATCAGTTCTCACGTACACGCTAGCTAGCATCAACTATCTCCCTAATGGAATCACTGTGTCTTGTATAGCTTCTTAATTTTTCAAAGTCATAGGAAGGACAAATCCGCTCTTTTACTTTTCATATTGCTAATGTCCTTGTCCTGTTTGCTAAGAGCTAAGCACAATTGTCTTGCTCCAGCACGTTTGTTAAGTGTGGACCCTACCACCGAGCTACCACCTTAGCTGTACCAGTAGTCTGATGGTTGGTTTTGGGTTCTTTGTTTGCCCGTTTTTGTGGTATTAGGGGTTGAACTTGGGCATGCTAGGCAAGTACTCTAGCCTTGAGTATCTCCCTAGCCCACGCATCACTCTTATGAACTGTGACAGTTATGAAGTCATATTATGAAGAATCTATGCTGTGTTCTTCCGTTCAGCTTGTCCATGTTAAGTTTGTTTGTAGTCCTCTTCAAATAAGGTACCAACTATGTCTCACTCATCTGGCCCTGTCACTAAACATAAGAAGCACAGCCTAGAGTTGATGTTCAAATGCTTTTTCCTTCTCCTTCTAAATATCTGTAATAATTACAAGCCTCTCAAGAAAACCATATTATAATACATTTTAAAAACTAAACTTGGGACCGGAGAAATGGCTCTCTGGCCATGCAGATGACCTGAATTCAGTTCCAAGTGTCCATGTCAGGTGGCACACAGATACCTGTAACTTCATCTCCAGGGATTGGAGGCCTCGGGCCTCTGGTCTCTGAGGAAACCTGCGCTCATGTACTCATCCCCGAACAGACACATGCATAATATACACAATTAAAATTACAAATAAGCTGGGTGTGGCGACACTCCCAGAACTCAGGAGACAGGGCAGGCAGATCTCTGTGTGCTCATGAGTCCCCAGGACAGCCAGGACTACACACAGAAACCCTGTCTTGGAAAATAAAATAGATTATAAATATATAAATCTTAAACCAGAAGAAGTTGGACCAACAAGACAGCTAAGCATTTAAAATGTGTGTTGTGCAAATGATCTGAGTTTGATATCCAGAACCCAGATTTAAAACAAAACAAAACAACAACAACAAAAAACAAACAAACAAACAAAAAAAAAAAAAACAGCAGTGCTCTTAGGGTGAGATGGGAAGGGAGGACAGGAGAACTCGTCAGAAGCCTGTAAGCACAGGGCAGGGGCAGAGACAGGATGGACCCCACCGCTAGGTGGAAGGAGAGAACATGACTCCTCCAAAGTAGCATGAACACACACATATGTCTACACACATAGAAACACAATGCAAAATAATTGAAAAAAAAAAAAACTTGTGGCTAGAGCAGTGGTTCTCAGCCTTCCTAATGCAGTGAGCCTTTAATAAGATTCCTCATGTTGTGGCGACCCCTGACCTTAAAACTATTTTCATTGCTACTTTATAACTGTTTGCTACTGTTACAAATCATAATGTAACTATCTGTGTATTCTGATGGTCTTAGGCAAGCCCTGTGAAAGGGGTACGTGCCCTGTGCCCTCTCCCCTTCTCCACGTGCTGAGAAGGGATGGGATAAATGGTTCAGCTGTTAATAAGCAGTGGTTCCAGCTGGCAGGAGGTAGCAGAGGCAGGAGGATCTCCAAGTTCAAAGGCACCTGGTCTACAGAGTGAGTTCCAGGACAGCCAGGGCCTAACAGAGAAACCCTGTCTTGAAAACCCAAAAGCCAAAAGCCAAAAAAATTCAAAAAAACAAAAAGCAAACAACCCCCCCCCCCCCGGCACTGGCACCTCTTGCAGAGAACCTGATTTTGGTTCCCAGCACCCACATGACCGCTCCCAACTATTGATAACTGGTGGTGTCTTCTGGCCCTGTGGGCACCAGGCACACAGGATGTGCGCAGACAGACATGCAGGCAAAGAACCTATACTTATACTTTTTCATCAATTAAAGAGGAAACTAGAAAAAACAACCTTTTTAAAAGATGAAAATAGGGTTGGAGAGGTGGCTCAGAGGTTAAGAGCACTGGCTCCTCTTCCAGAGGTCATGAGTTCAATTCCCAGCTACCACATGGTGGCTCACAGCCATCTATAATGAGGTCTGGTGCCCTCTTCTGGCATGTGTACATGCAGACAGAGCATTGTATACATAATAAATGAATAAATCTTAAAAAAAAAAAAAAAAAAAAGATAAAAACCGTCAGGTATGACGGGGGCACGGGGGCACTGTGGCACATGCATGTAAGCCAGCACTTGGAGGCAGAGGCAGGCATAACTCTGAGTTCGAGGCCAGTCTCATCTACCAAGTGAGTCCAGGACAGCCAAGGCTACATAGAGAAACCCTGTCTTGAAAAACCAACCAAACAAAAATAGCCAGGTACTGTGGCTCACACCTTAATTCCAGCACATTGGAAGCAGAAGCAAGAGGATCTACATGAGTTGGAAGTCAGCCTGGTCTACAGGGTGAGTTCCAGGACAGACTGAGCTACATAATGAGACTCTGTCTCAATAAGCAAACAAAAGAACAGAAATGAAAAGTTTTGAGACAAGTCCATGCCTGAAGTCTCTGAGAGGGCTGTGTTAGTTACGTGTCATGTTGCTGTGACAAAACAAAAACAACCTGAAGGAAAACAACAGGGGAGAGAGTTAGCCGTGTCAGAGGCCATCAAAGGAGGAAGCCATCACAGCAGCAAGGGCTTGAGGCAGCTGCTGATAGTGCATTCTTGTGATAGTCAGGAAACAGTGCTCAACTGATTGCTCTCTCTCTTTTTTTTTTTAATTCATTCAGTCCAGGAGCCCAGCCTGTGGGATGGTGCTGCCCACAGCTGGCATGGGCTTTCCTATTTCAATTAACCTAATTTAGATAATCTCTCACAAGTGTGTCTCCTAGGAGACATCATTAATTGTCATGCTCTGAGCAGCATAGAAGGATCTGAGTTCAAGGCAGCTTTAGTGCATAAAAAGACTGTCTCAAAAATCTGAGCAGCACCTCACCCCATGCCATCACCCCTCAAAACCCTGGGAGAGTAAGGCAGGAAAGTCACAAGTTAGAGGCTAGCCTGGTCTAGCTCTGGCACAGGACTAGAGTTCTGTTTCCAGCACCCTCACTGGGTGGCTTTATTGCCTGTAACTCCTGGCCCAGGGGAAAAGCCACCTTCTGGCCTCCAAAGGAGACATGCACGCATGTTATATTATGCACATGCTCAATTTACATAAATTTTAAATGTGAAAAAATACAAAACAAACCCCAAAATAGCTGTGAATGTATCAGTTGCAGGATAATCCATGATAAATTGGATGAAAAATGACACATGGCTATAAATGATTTCCTGTTAAAAGACTTACCTATATCTGTGGGAGGGTATTTTTGTAGCATTACAAAGGAGGGCACAAGATCCCATGGGGATACAATTATAGACAATTGTGAGACACCGTGTAGGTGGTGGGAATTGAACCTGGATCCTCTAGAAGAGCTTTGGAAGTGCTCTTAACCACTGAGCCATCTCTCCAGTCCTTAGCAATTTTGTTAAAATTTTGTTATTTGTGCTGAGTGTCATGGCACATGCCTTTAATCCCAGTATTCAGGATGCAGAAGCAGGCAAATCTCAGAGTTTGAGACCAGCCTGGTCTACAGAGCAAGTTCCAGAACAGAGAAACCCTGTCTTAAAAACTTTGGGGAGGGGGGAGGGAGAAAAAAAAGAGCAGTAGGATTATTACAGAGTTTTAAAAATACTTTGGGGGGAATGGTAAGAAAGCTCATTGGGTAGACATTGCTGCCAAGCTTGATAACCTGAGTTCTATCCCCAGGACCTACACAGTGGAGGGAGAGAACTAACTCCTTCAAGTTGACCTCTAACACACCAAGTGTTTCTAAACATTTTTTTAATATTTAGTTTTTGTGGGGACCGGGGTTTGAACCCAGGCTGGCTTTGAACATGCTATGTAGCCAAGAATGCTTTTGAACTCCTGTTTCCACCTCTCACGTGCAGAATTAGAGTTTGGCTTCCTCGTCCCGTCCATGCAGTACTGGAATCAGACGCTGGGCCACACCCTAATGAAGGTCACATTGTGTTCACCATGTGAATGGTGCTGTCTAAACAAGCTGAGGAGTGAGGAGCTGCCACATCCTTTCCAGCATGGATGGATCCAGGGAGAGATGAGAAAACCTCTGCTCTGAAAGTGCTCTGGTTTTAGTAGTTCTCTTCTAGTTTTAGAAATAATTTCCAGCCAGGCGTGGTGGCACACGCCAGTAATCCCAGTACTGGGGAAGCAGAGGCAGGAAGATCTCTGAGTTTGAGGCCAGCCTAGTCTACAGAGTGAGTTCAGGACAGTCAAGGCTACACAGAGAAACCCTGTCTCCCCATCCCCTCAAAAAAAAAATTTCCAGTGAAAATTTGGTTCTTATTAAAAAGGAACTCTATATAGAGTCAGTTTGCTTCAATGATGTGAAGTCCTCCCCAGGTCACACCCCACTCCCTACAGTAGTTGGGCAACACAGACTAACATGATGGTGGGGAAAGGAGGAGAAGGAAGAAGAAACTTAAAATTTGGGTGGGAGGCGTGAACACATCTTCAATCCCAGAACTTGGGAGGCAGTAACAGGTGGATCTCTCTAAGTTTGACACCAACCTGGTCTACACAGATTCAGAATAGCCAGGGCTACACAGAGAGACCCTGTCTCAAACAACAAACACAACAAAAGTTGGATAGGTAGAAAGGAGAGGAGGAAGAGCATCAAAATGCATTGTGTGGGGCTGGAGAGGGATGGCTCAGCAGTTAAGAGCACTAATTGCTCTTACAGAGGACCTGAGTTCAGCTTTCAGCACACATATGGTGATTCACAACCATCCATGACTTCAATTCCAGGGGGTCTGATGCCCTCTCTCACCTCAGTGGGCACCAGACATGCACACGATGAACACACAAATACATATTTGGGCAAAACACCCATAAACTTACAAATAAGATAAATCCTTTAAAAATTATCTGAAATTCCTAAAGAATAAAAACAACACAACTTGATACAATTCATTCATTCCCCCAAGGCTGTTGGAATTGTTACACTGCTTTTTCCCAGGAGTCTTTCTAGGAAGCTCCACATACCCAGAATCTACTAACTCCTCAGGAGTAGCTAACGTATTGCCCCTGTGACTCTTACCTCGGGGAATCAATCCCGCTGTCTCCTGCCATGCTGTAATACTCTGTCCCTTCCAGGTGACTGTGCTCTCGCTGTGGCTCCTGAGCCAACACTGGCACATGTGAGGTGTTGCAAAGTTGTAACTTGTCTGTGAAATGCTCTTTCATGTCACAGTCTGGAGGGCCCTGTCTCCAGCCAGTTGGACTCTTTCCCATGTCGTCAGGTGACTCTTGTAGGATCTCAGCTCTGCAATTGGTTTTTCTTGCAGCAGAGCACTCAAGTAAGCTTCCACCAGCAGTTGCTGGGGCCTGGACTTGGACAACAGTGGGCTCTTCTTCACAGTTCAAACCAAAGGGAGTCCCTGGATATACCCCAGGGCTATCAGTGAGATCAGGGTTTGGGCCTTCCCCCACATTTGAAAACAAGCCAACAGCCTTATAGCTGGGATTCCTTTCAGGCGCCAGGGGCTCAGAGGTATCGTTTTTGCCATCACACTCAGTTAGGGATCTCCCAGTCACCAATGGTATTCCCAAATGATTCCATCTGCCTCCACGTGCAGAGGAGTACTGAATGTGTCCAGGCAGTGTGTGACAGAAGCCGTCAGTCTCAGAGGAGTCACTATCCTCTAGATACAACGAGCTGCAGGCCCCGTCATCTGACCCAGCATGTCTCTGAGTCAAGGCCACCTCATCCTGCTCACTGTCAGAAAGCCCCTCATTTTCTATATCCATAATCTCTGCCTCTTGGACAAATGCCTTCCTCGTTAGTTTTTCTGAGTCACCATCTTGTCTTTCATGTGTCCTCAAATGGTGTGCACCGAGTGAGCAATCTAAGAGGCCAAGGTTTTGGAATTGGTATACTGTCTTATCCACTGCTGTATAAGCAGAGGGCTCTGGACTCTGTGCAGGCAGGACCTGCTGCATTTCTTTGGTTCCCAAGAACACGTCACAGTCAGAATAACTTTTCCTTAAGACTTCAGGGATGACTTTGTTTTCTTCATCATACACACCACCTCTCAACATACTTTCCCTGAAGGAACAGTGGCAAGGGAGGCTTGGCAAAATGACACATGGAGGGTAATTTACTGGACCACCTCTGCAGTCATCACTGACAGGATGGATGGGAGCCTTGGTCGAATGCATGGATTCTGCTTCCAGTTTATCATGGCATTGCTCCGAATATGCGGGTTGTGGTTCACCATCAAAGGCTCCTGAAGGATCTGAAGAGCCTGCCCTCCAGAAGGGCTTTTCCTCTGGCTGACTGGAACTAGGTTTCAGAACACGGGTCTTCTGAGCATTGTGCCCTTTGGATACTGGGTTTCCTCGGAGATACATGCCCTGGAAAGGATTATTGATCTGCTTTTTATAAATCAAGTGGGGGCCTAGCCCAGCTGGATTCCCAGCATGCAACTGATGAGCTTCCTCCCTGGGGCTTTTCAGTTTGGGAGCAGGCTGGGCTGCAGGGACCTTGGGGTGCTTTTCCAGTCCAGTGCTTCCTGGCTCAAGCTCTCTTCCCTGGCTCCATGCTCTGCGCCTATCCCTATGAGAACAACCTTGCCAGTGGGGCTTAGCAGACTGGCCCTGCCTTTTCCAAATTCCCTCTTCTGAGGAATGTCTTTGGCTAGTTGTCAGTACATCAGTGGAAGTGCCCTGGCTATTGTATTTTTTCCATTCTTCATATTTTTGCATCAGGACGGTGTGTTTGATTAGGTTGTCAACAGTCAGCACAGGATTAATTCTCTTGATTATTGCATGTTCCACGTCTCGGGGGATGCTATTGACGCTGTCTTCATCTCGCACAGGCCACTCCTCGGGTGGGAACTGTGCAGAGAAACTTCCATACTCAGTTTTAGGCTTCTCTTTTCTAGATAAGCTGCGCCACAGGAAACCAAAACCAAACTTTTTACCTTTGTCTTTGGTGTATGGTGACGGTTTGGGGCTCACACAGATGTGGGTGTCTTCAGATGCTGAAACTACCTGGTTCTTAGTCAAGCTTGTGGCTTCCTCAAGACCTCCCTGGTGTTTTTCAGTCACTTCTGCGGCGGTCGGGGGGTCCTTCGAGTCCTGCATGCTTGTATCAAGGAAACACTGACACGATGGACAGTGAGAAACTGGGATCTCATTCTCCTGGGCCAGCTCTGCACAGCGATCCATGCTCACCAGATAGGTCACCGGAATGGGCACCGAGCGCCCTTCATCTGACGGGGGGGCTCTCTTGTTTCCCCTCCTGGATGCATTTGTAATAAAGTAGGTATTTGGTGTAACTATGAAGTAGCCCTCCCCAGTGTGGTAAATCTTCCTCTGTTGAATCAGAGCCCCCAGTGTGCTGTAGAGAATGTCTGAGGGTGGGACAGAAATACCTTAAAAAAAATCAGAAAAGTTCAGAATGACCACAGATTTGATTAACAAACTTGGAGCTGGTTGTTTGCCATACAAGCAATGAAAATGGTAACTGGTCAGATGGCTCAAGAGGTTAGGGTGCTTGTATGCAGGCCTGAGTCTGATGCTCAGTCCTACAAAGCGTCAGGAAAGAACAACTACCAAGAGCTGTCCTCTAATTTCCACACCTGTGCTGAGACACATATGTGCCTGGACACACACACACACACACAAACACACACACACTTTTTTTTAAATTAGAGCTGATTACAGTGCCTCATCTCTGTAACCCCAGCACTCAGGAGGCAGACACAGGAGAATCACTGTGGGCTATATACTGAAAATTAGGCCAGCCTGAACTATGAAACAATACAAAGATTATGTGTAATTAAGCTCCAAAATACTATATAATTTGGTCCCTATAAAGGCATATGACTAGGCTAATGGTTTGTTTTTTTGTTTGTTTTGTTTTCTAACTCTTGAAGCTTGTCCTTATCAGTGTGAGCAACGCATGGACATGAGTCACCTTCACATGGTTGACTCTGCCTAGCAACTTGGGCGTAGATTGGGTTGATGTCCTCATCAGTAATGCCAAATGCGTCTTTGGGTGCTTCTCTGCCCTCAGCACTAATTCCTTGCCCCCTCATCAGTGGTTTGCTAACAGCTTCTTCCACTTGGAGGTCTCTAAGTCTTGACTGGCCTTCTTTAGTGGATTTATAATCTTTAAAAGTCTCATCGAGTTTTCTCTTTCTAGAATTTTTGACTTTGCACATATTTGGAAAGTTTGCAAGACTCAGTCTCTCATGGCCATCTAGCTTACATGCTTTTACACGGGGAAAGAGCTCTGGCCATGGGCCTTCTTGAGGTCTTTTTCGGCAGACCTGAATGCCCTGATCTCTGATCCAGCTCCGGGCAGCATGGAGCCTTCTGACAACCCTTCATCTACAAATGACCGCACCTTTAGATAGGCAGTCATTTCTGCACAGGCAGCAATTAGCCTGCCCAACGAAGCCTTTCCAGCTAGGTCAGTGTCCTTTTCCAGTTCCGAGAGTCAGAAACCTGGTATCTCATTCACGTGCAATGAGCCACGTGGCTCCTCCCATGATATTAGTAGATTTGTCCAGGTCTTCGCTGGGAGCTATAGTGCCTTGGAAAATGGTCACAATACATGGCGTTGAGCCTTTTTGTTGTTTGCTGCTTTGCAGCTTGCTAAGGGTTCTCCTTAGCATGTGAAAGATGAGGCCAAGTGCTGTTTGGAATGTAGTGTTCATGAAGAAAGGAGTCTCCTGAACTTCTTCATTTACCTACGGCATGCACTCCCCTTCAGGATTAGGCTCGCCAGCACCGTCTTCCCGACTGCATGGGTCGGGGCAGGAGTGACAGCCTGGAAGTGAGAGTCTTCCTCTGAGTGTCCTCGCATTGATGGCACTAATGGAGCATAGATTTGTGAGCACAGCGTCGGCAATAAGATCCGGGGGAGGAACGGCTATGTCATCCTATTGCAGAGTATGTGCTCAGCGGCCTCATGCCTTTTTGTGCTGATTGTCATAGGCTAGGGAAGCCACTTCCATTGATGAGCAAACCACAGTGAGCCCTGAGCACCCCTTGATGTGGTTTCTGGCTAGTGGTTAAACACAAAAACCAAAAATCTGAATATTACTGGACATAAATCAACTTAAAATTTGAAGATTCAGTAGGAAAACAATTGCCTAGGTTTGATCTCCAGCACTGAAACAAAGCAAAACAAAAAACCCAAAAAACAAACAAAAAAACCACACAAACCAACAACAACAACAACAAAAAAAAAACAACCCTACACCTTGAGAAAGTATTCTTGATGAACAAACATGGAAATTTAAAATAAGTCTGAGAACTATGTAGAGTATGTACAGAATGAGCTCACTTACATCATAAAAGGTAAAATAAACAGCAGCTTGTGAAGGAGACTAAGAGCTGCTGCAAGTATTAGCGGTTCCCTCTCTGGGAAACGACCATGGAAAAATGGGAGGTGGGGGAGATGAATTTTCCTTTCCATCCCTCATTACAGAATCTGATTAACATGCATTTACATATGAAAACAGTCATCCTAAAAGTAAAAGAAATACCTTTATGGAATGTTGGTGCTGGGCTGGTGTTGGCTCAGCACTCTAGGGTACCTACTGCTAAGCCCAAGAATCTGGGTTCAATCCCTAAAGCCCACATGATGACAGACTGATCCTTCCTGCAAATTGTCCTCTGACCTCTACCATGTACTGTGACATGCTTGAGCAGCCCCTGACATTCACACACACACATACCATGTTGGGCTTTTCCTGACTATATGGCATATTTTTAAATCTATTTTATTTGGGTTCTTATACCTCTTCCTTCCTTTCAACCCTTATTCATCCTAATACCTTCCAACCCCCCAACACTAGGTAGAAGAGAAGGAAGGTTAGAGGAGAAAGGGGCAGAGTATGTCTCTTTACTACCTCCTGCTGGTTATCAATGTAGTTCCTTGGGGCAAATCTAATCGTCATTTCAGGATACCTCCAACTTCTAGTCAAACTGCATCAGTACAATCAGGGGTAGCAGGGCGGAATAGCAGCCTCTTTCTTCTTCCTTGTGTCCTCCAAACCTTTCTTCTTCTGGCTCTGGTATTTATACCCTCTCAGAGTCCTCAGAATTAACTATCTGCAGCTGGCAAAGATCATGCTCCTGTCAGAGCACAAGATAACCATAGTTGACAGCTGTGAACAAACTAAAGCAGCCCCATATATCCGGGATTAAAACAAAAACATGTTTTTAACATGTTTTTAAAGAACATGAGTATTTAAAGAAACCAAAACTTCCACTACACCTGACAGTGTATTTAAAAAAAATTTTTTTTTCTGTACTGATGGTGGAGACCCAAGCTTTCCGCATACTAGGCAAACATTCTACCACTGAGCTATATCTCCAAACCCCTTTTTACTTCTTGAGACAGGGTCTTACTAAGCTTCCAAGGCAGGCCTTGAACTTTCAGTCCTGCTCAGCCCAGCCAGTAACTGAGACTGTATGCCTGTGCCACTGAGCTGGGTAACACAACAGTAATGTGACAAAAGATTCTATAGAAGGAAGAAGGAAGAGGAGAAGGAGGAGGAACAAGAAACAGAAAGATACCATACCCTTATATGTTAAGACTGATTATAAATATAAACCAAACACATTCAAATGAATACAAGTGGTGAAAACTGGTTACCTGGGTAATGTTTCATCAAGTGCTCCAAGAGAGACTCCTGTGTTACAGCCACCTGAGCCGCATTCATATCAGCAATAGCACAGCAAAGAACTTCAGCCAAGGGCACAAACCGACACTGGGCTATGGGACTCATTTGCACTGGGAAGACATCACCTGAATTAGAGGTCAAAATCAGAGCAGGTGATGAATCTGCTAGAGCATGAACCATTCAGAATTAGTGTAAGAACCGTTTAAAGACCGACTGGATGGCGGATCTGCTCAGACCATGTTAACATAGCATGTTTGATGGCAGGAGCTGTAGAAGACAAAGCTTTGTGTCATGGTCTCTCCTTGATGTGTTGTCAGGGGTCAGACATGCTGTCCAGCAGCTCACATTTTTAAAATCACACTTCCCTGTCAGCCGGGAAGCCCTGGGACAGAGTCCAGCATCATTGGCAGCACGGGTGTAGATGGAGTATGCTTATCACTACAGTTTACAGCAAGGTGTCAGGCAGCGAATGACCTAGTCCTGTGTCTGGAGTCAGTGCACCAAACAGAATGGTTGATAACACTCAGAGCTGCAGATGGAACTCTGTAAAGGGCTTATGTAGTATTTACAAGACCCTCGGTTCAGCCCCCAGCATGGCATAAGGAGCATGGTGGCACATGCCTGTAATCCTAAATCCTTGAGACATGGAGGGTGGAGAATCAGAAGTTCGAGGTCACTCTTGAATACATAGTGAGACTGAGGCCAGCCTGGGCTACTTGAGACTCAGTCTCACAAACAAAAGTTGATACAGCTCAGTGGTAGGGCACTTGCCTAGCATGTTCATCTCCCTAGGTTTGACCTTAGGCTCATCTCAAGGCACCTCACACCAAGAATAAACTGATCTGGGGAAGCTCCCGGGAGTCCATCGGGGAGACCCAAGTAGAGACTCCTAGCTGTGTGTGGAGACTGAGGTCCACACTTCCTGTCACCAGGTGGAACTTCCAGTGGAGGGAGGGGAACATTAAACCCCCCCATAAAAATCTTCGACCCAGATTTTGTCCTGTTTACAAGAAGTGTAGGGATAAAGATAGAGCAGAGAGATTGAGGGAATGGCCAAAGACTGGCTTAACTTGAGACCCACCCCATGGGAGAGAGCTAACCCATGACATTATTAATGAAACACTGCTGTGATTGCAGACAGGAGCCTAGGAGGCTTCACCCAGCAGCTGACAGAAACATGCAGAGACCTACAGCCAAACAATAGGTCGAGCTCAGGAAGTCTGATGGAAAAGTAGGAAGAAGGTTGAGGGGACCAGAAGGGTCAAGAACACTACAAGAAGACCTACAGAGTAAGCTAGCTGGGCCCATGGGGGCTCACAGAGACCAAACCACCAACCAAACATGGGCTGGACCTAGGCCCCCTACACATAAGTAGCAGATGTGCCACTTGGTCATCGTGTGGGTCCTCTAATAAATGGAGTAGGGGCTGTCTCTGACTCTGTCGCCTGCCTTTGATCCTTTTCTCCTAGCTAGGCTGCCTTGTGTGGGCTCAGTGGGAAAGGGTGTACGAGTTCTGCCACAATGTGATGTGCCAGAGTGTGTTGGTACCTACAGAAAAGGGGAGGGAGGGATGGGAGGAGGGGCTGTGAGGGTAGGACTGGGAGAAGAGGAGGGAGGAGGTCGTGATCAGGCTGTGAAGTGATTAATGAGGAAAAAAAAATCTACCACTACTTATGATCCCAGAAGTCAGGAATGGAGGATCATAAATTCAAAGTCATCCTTTGCTACATAGTGAGTTTAAGGCTGGGGTTGGCTACACAAGACCTTTTCTAAAGTAAAATAATGAAAACAAAAACAAATCTACCACTAGCTACAGCAATTTCCTCTTTAAAATCCACGTATGATTTGATAAGAATTTATATGAGATACAGATATATACTATCTTATACAGAGATACCTCCATATGAGAGATGCTACTGAGAACATTTGAAATTGCTTTAGTGTCCTGAAGAAGCTCCTACCATGTGTGTCCAACCTTTTGACACAACGGCACAAAGCTGTCATCTGCGAGCTTCTCACGCTCAGGACCCCCACCCCCACTCATGGGTTACAACAACAAAAACAACTCATGTTTTCAGTAAGTTTCCGACTTTGTGGGGATGAGGCCATTCACAGCTGCCCCAGGCACATACAGCCCACTGGCCAAAGTCAGGAGAGCTTTCCCGCACGGTCCCTTCACTGCTGCTGCTAAGACACATGCAGCAGGGAAAGTGAGGTGAGCCCCAACCCTCTTGAGAGGTGCTGGGAGGGCTGCCAAGCTCTGGCAATGGCCTGCTTCACTGGCTACCAAACTCTTTTTGGTTTCTGGGACGAAAGGTGAACTTTCTGTGCTGAGGAGCCTGTGTTCGGATGCAATCAGGTTCCACAGTTCCAGAACTCACTCAGGAGGAACTGAACAGCACCGTTAAGGGCAGGCCTGCTTGGGACCTTTAACCCCAGAGCTGACAGAGCATTGGGTTAAAAAGGGACTGTGAGCTGACAGGAATCATCACCACAGCATCCCTGTTTACATGGTCACTCCTGGGTGCCTCAGAAAAGAAAAAAGTGGTTAGGCTGAAAGACAAACACCATCAAAGTGTCTGACATATTTTCAACAATCAGTAAATCAAGAGCTAGATAGAGATTGGGAAGTTTCTTTTTTAAGATTTATTTATTTATACATATGAGTGTTCTGTTTGCATGTATGGCTGCATAACAGAAGAGGGCACCAGATCCCGTTATAGATGGCTGTGAGCCACCATGTGGTTGCTAGGTATTGAACTAAGGACCTCTGGAAGAGCAGCCAGTGTTTTTAACCTCTGAGCCATCTCTCCAGCACTTCAAAAGTAATTTTATGGTTGTCGGTCACCACAACATGAGGAACTGCAGGAACTCTATTAAAGAGTCACAGCATCAGGAAGGGTGAGAATAACTGCTTTAGGCTCAGGCAAGCCCCAGAGCTATTGAAGTGGGGGAGGGGCTGAGAAAGTTTGACTGGCTCTTAGGTTGGGTGACAGTGGCTTAACAGGGGGGCTGGAGTGACACACTTGTTACCAGGGTTTGGTTCCCAGCACCCACACTGTGGCCCACAACCACCTGTAACTCCAGTTCCAGGGGATCCAAGGCCGCCAGCTCCGTGGGCTCCAGGCACTCACATGGCGCACACACATACACATGCAAGCAAAACATTCACACACGTGAAGATAAATAGACCTCAAAAAAGTAAACAAAAATGATCCAGTGCAAGAAAGGATCTCATTAAAGAGGAAAAACAAAGGTTCTTTATGTGAGGACAGAAAGTTCCCCCCCCCCATAAGCCTCAGGTGCAAGCTATCAAGAAAAATACCCACACAAGAATCAATGCAATCCTCACCAAAATCCCCATGATCTCATCACAAAAATAATATTTAAAAATCCTAAAATTCGGGGGCTGGAGAGATGGCTCAGTGGTTGAGAGCACCAGCTGTATTTTCAGAGGTTCAACTCCCAGCACCCCCCAGAGGCTCACAGCCATGCTTATCTCTGGCTCGGGGGATCAGACTCCCTCTCCCAGCACAGGCACCTACATGGTGTGCATATGTCCTTATACACACGGAAGCAAAATATTCATACATATGAAATAAATAAATCTAAAACTTTGCTTTTTTTTTTTTTTTTTTTTTCAAAACAGGGTTTCTCTGTGTAGCCCTGGCTGTCCTGGAACTCACACTGTAGACCAGGCTGGCCTCGAAGAACTCAGAGATCTATCTGTCTCTGCTTCCTGAATGCTGGGATTAATAAAACTTTTTATTACTTAACTTAAAATGAACCAAAGACCTTAAAAGAAAATCCAGACTTGCACTATTCCTCTGGCCTCTGGCCCTGGACTGCTGGAACTACACAACTGAGCCACAAATGCCCACCCTGTTATGTTTTAATCTGGGGTATTACAACCTGAATTTTTCGGTTCACAAGACACTGTGCTAGCAAATATGAAAAACAGAAGAAAGTGTTCTTGAGCATTTGGAAAGCATTTACATACAAACTTTTCTGTGTTGTACATACAAGAATTTGTCATGACAGTCAATTCTACATAACCCTCATCCTAATCTCCATGTTTAACACACAAACCTCCCTTAAGAGCATTTAGACCTTGCACAGGTGTACTGATAGATGACACAGTGCTAGGCAGTCTGCCAAGAATCCATGCATTATTGACTTTCACATAGTTTAACGGAGCCACTGGACCTCAGCTAATTACCTGGATTCAGGAAATCCGAGACAATCTCTTTGGGGCCTCGTATTGAATCTCATGGTGGGAAAGGCTTCTTCCAAATGCATTAGAGATGACAGCAGAGTGCAGACAAAACAACCTACAGATACACTCGGGTTTAATAGCTGAGGGTGTTTGCTCAGAGTAACCCAAGAAGAGCTCCTGATTTCAAGCTGTGCTTTCATCCACCATATTGTTTTAACCTTAAAATTAATCCTGATGTGGTTTTAAAAAGAAAGAAAGAAGGCCAAACCAGCCTTTTTGAAACAACATGCTTCTCATTGGAGATAACAGCTTTAAATGTCTGCTGTGTTATAACTTCAAATAGGTTCAGGGGAAAAAAAAATCAGGATGAAAATAAGATCAAGAAAGGTTTCTGTCTTACAAAGCAAGTCCTCTCTCTGTCTCCCTTTCAGCCGAGTGGAGGGGGCAGGGGGAGAACAACACTTTTTATCCACAAACCAAACAGTGTCAGGATTCAGAGCTGGCTGCAGAGACAGAGCTAAGGCAGCTGGGCACACGCCTTGAAGGGAGGTTCTTCCTAAAGCACAGTAGACACTGGTTATGGGGGTGCTTTGCCTTGGTGGCTTCAGAAAGAGCAATTGAGTGTTAGGAGTGTACCCTGCCTGACATGCAGGAAGTTCAGGATGATTCATGCCAGCATCAGGTTCCAGGTCATCCTCTGCTACATAGTAAGTTCAAGGAAAGCCTGGGATACATGAGACCGAGTCTCAACAAACAAAATGAAACACCTGAGACTAAAGTTTTAACTATCAGGCAAGCTACCAGAAAGAAATGAACAAGTGAAAAGGGAAAAACATTCACTCCAGGGAGAGCCAAGTTCACAATGATGGATGACAGAATGTATCACAGGTTCCAGCCATGACAGTCAGC